TACATTTAGTTTGCATTGATGCCCATCAGAGGGCATCACAACCGAGCCAGCATTGGGTCTTATCTGTGGTGGGGGGAATGACTGGCATGGTTTACATAGATGGCATTTGCTGGGAATTTCCACCGCAATATTGCAGACATTATCTTCATCCGAAAGAATTTGAGAATGCTTAAACACACACACACACACACATACTATATCATTGTTTATCCATTATTCCAAACCTGTATGACTTTCTGAAAGAAGTTTTGTAAATAAAATAAAATATGAAATAAAAACAATTAAATAAATGTGAATGGTGAATTTGGAGCGACATGAGGGTGAGTAAATGATGACAGAATTCTTTTGAACTATTCCTTTAAATGATGTTATAAAGGCAGACAGTTCTTTTAAGTAAATTGCATGGCCTCTGATTTAACCAAGAAAACATGAAGGAACATATCCACACTAGGTTCATCTTACACTCAACAAACTATAGCCCAAGGTAGTCTGTCTCGATAACAAAAGAAAGCAGGGGAGGGAGGGAGGGAGGAAAGGACAGGATTTTAGGAAAAAAAAAAAATGTTGTTTAATCTTCTTTAAGGTTAGAGCACATCTATATCGTGTTTCTGCCTGTTGTAAAATGTAGGCAAAAATGAGCCTGCCAAATCGATAGAGTTTGCCAAGGCCAGTCTCATTTGTTTTTGACAGATGTTATGAAGAGGTCTATTCCAAGGCCAGCTCCACTATAATGTAGCTATAACAAAACCCATTCAAGTTTGGTGGCATTTGTCCTTCCAGGAATAATGCAGTCTTTTTATAAATTAAAATTACAGACAGATTGTTCAATAGCAAAGAATGGCTATAGCTTGAAATTAGGGCCGTCATTTTAATGCATTTATTAGTTATGGAAAAGTAACGTTTTAAAAAAAATTGAACGCACCTGCCCCAGACCTAGTTCAGCTTCTGAAAAAAATCATGACCGTTTATGTCATGTTGTGTACTTTATTTTAAGTTGAATCTATTTCTAAAGCTACTTTTTGTAATGCATATTTGATGCTTTTCTCATTTAACACAATAATGACTTTAACATAATTTAATTTCTCAGCCAAATTGGATGTTCGATTAATTCGGTTAATCAATCAGCACATCATGCAATTAAAATTTTGAATCGCTTGACAGCCCTACTTAAAATGCATAAATAAATAAAAATGTTCTTTTTGATTGAATCATTGTGCATGGTTGAGAGTGATGGAATCCGACAAAATGGACGTGCAATGGCATGCTTAAGAGATAAATAAAATGGAAAATCATCAATAAATGAAAGAAAGAATGTTGAAATTAGAAGTACACAAATGTTCATTAGCATAGAAAAGTCCATACAAATAGAAAGGTCCATTTGATCTTCATCTAAGGCCAAAACAGGACTAAAACAGGTTTGGATCATCTGTCTTCTGGCTGTTTGGTTATCTGACTCTCATTCTCTCAGTGAACACATCATACTTTGGATTGAATAATTGCACTTGCACCACTTGAACACAGGCCCAGACAAATCATAAATTCCCCATTCTTGGCTGCTGAAGTTAAAGATGATAGCCTATGAAGTTAAGAAGTTAAAGATGATATTATCAACACAATGAATAATAGTTACTCAACACTCAAACAGTTTTAATTAAGAAACTTACAATGGCAATAACATCATTCAAATTCAAAGATGCTTTTATTATTTTAATTCCATGGTTCTCTGAATACTTGATTTGGATTGATCAATCTTGTCATTCTTCACTTAAAGCTGAATTAAGATTTCTAAGAGAGTATAAAATAATACAATATTTCTAAGAATATATCATTTTTATAATGACTCTAAACTTTATAATTCATCTTTGCCCCATTCAGGGTTATTATAGTTAACTAAAACCATAAAACAAATAAAATATATATATAAAAAAAACGTAAAGCTATTTTATGTCAGCTAGTTGCCAATGCAACATTTCTCATTTTCAATTAGTTTAACTTGATGTACTAAAAACACAAAAACTGATGAAAAACCCCACATCAAATTTACTAAACCTTGAATTAAAATTTATGAAAATTAATGAAAACAAAAACAATTCAAAATATTTTATTAATCAAAAAATAATAAAAACTATAATAGTATTTTAATGATACTAAAATAACTGCCCCCATTCAAACAATCAAAGGTTTATTTTGCTATAATGGCCAGTTATTATCCCTTACATGCTTATTGTTGTATGATTCATTCAAAAGAATCAGAAAGGCATTAGAAAGAATTAAAGCTCTTCTGATAGACATCCCAATGAAAGAGAAATGATTTTGTCAAATCCTCTTAGGTACTGCATTTGGCAATGAAGAGGATGAAGACATGACACCAACACCAGACTATTACGACTATAACTCTACCTTCGACTTCTATACGTACAGTAAGTTACCATTATATTCCTGACTACTAAAGGTCATCTTCACGATCTGAGAGCGAGAGTCCACGGTGTGATTCGAGATACAAAGTTTGGGATGAAACACAACGTTGCCATTGAAGACGGCAAATATTACGAAAATCTGACCACTCAATGCCACAATTTTGACCAATCAGAATCGAGCATTCCAGAGGTATGTGTAATAAAAAATTATGGATAATGTTGTTAACCAATAATTAGACGCTGTTTTAGCGAACTCACATTTGGTCTGGCTCGATTCTGGCATGTAACACTTCGTTTTCATGGTCCAGTTGTACAACTCGTACAATTCCCAATGGATATCATGTTATTTTTTCCTAGAAAATGTATAATGTTATCAAAGGTTGCAAAAGAAATCGCAAAATATGTGTATTGCCGCAAATGTAACTGTTTTTATGGCTTGTTTCCATTTCAGATGGCACCGGAGGTATTAATATTAATTATGAAATATATGAAGTTCTACCCGATACTCGAAATCAAGGGAATACGGTAAAGTGGCATAAACTCTCTATTAATGTTCTCCAGGCATCACATTTCTAAAAGCCTAATTAGAAAAAAGCCTTTTTTTACTTGTGACAATTGAAATGAATAGAACTAATTTGGCTATTACTGTCACTGCATAAAGTGAAGGAATTAATAATTAAACAGACACATAAAAGGAAGGATGACAGGAAAGATGAGGTGGAAACTTTAGAATATCTCGTGAACAAGCAACTGCTTGATGGCTTTGTTTTACCAAGAATGCTGCAGGCCAAATAGGAAAGCAAAGAGCAAACTGTCTTGACTGGGAGAAAATATTCTTACCGACTCCTTAATGAACTCTTGCTGTTTTTTAGGGTTCTCGGTCAGTGAATAGACACTCTGGAATATTAGCAGGATTGCTGGTGCTGCAGATCTGCCAGCAAACATGAAAATGATTGACAAGGGACCAAACAAAAGTGAGTTGAAAAAGCCAATCACAAGGTCACTGTAAAAGTAATTAATTTCATTGGATATTATTTATCTCTCCTTTATGATGTTTTACAGAACATTCACAGCCTGGAGTAAAAAAAAAAAGTATTGTTCATGCACTATTTAGTCAAAGCTAGGATTTAGGAAATCTCTATTGATTGCACCGTTCTTCACTGTTAGTATGTCATAATATTCTAGAGAGGCACAGCAGTGTGATAATTTATGATCGTGCTACATGTCAGTGTCACAATAACATGTTTTGTTTTGTATTTCAAAGATATTATGCAGCTGATGTCATCTAAGAGGAAGGACCGGAACATCCTTTCACTGTCTGCACACTGTGACATCAATACCGACATTTTCACTGAATTAAAGTCTGGAGATTTAAAAAAAAAAAAAATTAATACTAAACATATCTGTGTGGTTGCAACTTTTATATCTAACTTGAAATGATCACATTGCATACTGTTTTGCTTTACATGATTTATTGGGTCTATTCATTATCCGAGGAGCTTTTCTAACAAATGTAACCTTTATTCTCACACTTTTGCAAAAAATGTTGAAATAAATCATTTGTAATATATGTTGGTCAGCATGTCTGCAACTTCCAGCTCTAAGTGTGAACTTTATTTATATATTTCACAAATTCTTAATGAGATACTAAAATAATAATTTAAGAACAAAAATAGGCAGGCTAAAATCACTGAGACATAAGAGATATATGTTATTATTTACATTTAATCATTTAATAGACGATTTTATTCAAAGCGACTTACAAATGAGAACAATTAGAGGTAATCAAACCAACAATACGGCAACAAAAAGTGCTGTGACAGCCAGCAGTCAGTAAACATCAGAATAGGTATCCCTATCCCTTCTCCTGTCAATAAAAATGTCCACATTTTTAAATCTTATCGCGGACACTCATTAGGTGGCGTTTGTTCAACTCATTGACCACAGTACCTACATTAAAAGTAAACATAACCGGAAATAAGTGAGATGTACTATTTCCAAACGGAAGTGCGTCACGAAGCTCAGTGCGTGGTCCACTGAAAGGTGTTTAGTGTATGCAAAAAAAGCTGTTTTAAAATGTTTTGTAGTTTTATAGTTTATTAATTAATCTGTAGTTTATGTTGCCCAAAACAGATTTGATAAATCAAAATCAAAACAGATCTTTTGCTTTTTCCTGTTGCACGATTTGTTTCATATTTCTTTAAAAATTAAAATGTCGACGAAGCACCCAAAATAGCTTGTAGTTGTGACAGCTTACCCCTTATAATGTAACACAATGCGGCATATTGTACAAAAAAAACTTTAAGCTTTGTGCAGATATAAAGAGTAGAAATAAAATATTTATTGGAGAGTAGTGTCACAAATCCTAAAATTATATTATAAATGTAACATAAATATATATTGTCACAAAAGACGAAAGAAAGAAAGAAAGAAAGAAAGAAAGAAAGAAAGAAAGAAAGAAAGAAAGAAAGAAAGAAAGAAAGAAAGAGACCGCGCTCGGATGCCCCCTGAGGCGCGTGAAATCTCTCCATTCACAACGCGCGCGAGCTCATGGATGAGAGAGATGCGTGATCTCATCATATATTCAGTACATTCTCTCGAGACCACATGAGACCTCACGAGTAGCGACGATACTTACAGAACGTCCACATATACCCCAATTTTGTCTTGGAGCACGCAGACGTGAGATGTTCGCAGGATAAGGATGAAATCACCGTCAGCATCGGTGTTAAAGAGCTGGTTTTGTTCTCTCGCTCGCGTGGACCGCACACTGACTGCTATGAGGAACTGGGATGCTTCTTTCCCGTAAGAGCTGTTATTATCAGTTTTGATTTGTGATTTAAGATGCCGAGGTTCCAGTTTTTAAACAGCACTACTATGCCAAATCACAATTATGAATGGAGCTACGAATACTACGACGACGAAGAGCCCGTGTCTTTTGAAGGACTCAAAGCACACCGATGTAAGTCTGTTTCTCTGCAGCCTTAAGTCCATTATAGCTTGATGTGTTTGATCCTGTTTTTGTCATCTTTTTATTAACTATGAAACAAGGATCAAATATATTCTTAGATATGAAAATGCCTTTTTAAATGTGTATTGAATAAAATAAAAGTTTATCCAGCATACAGTAAGACATGAAAATAATGCAAATCTTATAACAATCAACCATATATATACCTTTTTATATATAAAATCATATGCAGTATATATATATATATATATACACATACGCTCGCGCGCACACACAGTATATATATATATATATATATATATATATATATATATATATATATATATATATACTGTATATACTATATAGGCCTATAAGTGCACCAATTAGTATCATTGTTTGCAAAAAATTATGAAAACAGGAATATATCCGTATATATACATAAAATTACATGATTTTATGTTAATTATTATATTGTTATAATTTATAATTAAATTATTTGTAGTAACATTTTTATGTCCATTAAAAAAAAAATTAGTGTAATATAAGTAGGCTAGATAAATTTGAATGAAACATTTTAGCATTTCAGTTGCATTTTCACATCACTCAGCTTTGTTTCTTCCTCCAGATTCCATTGTGATCGGCTTCTGGGTGGGTCTTGCAGTTTTTGTCATATTTATGTTTTTTGTTCTGACTCTTCTGACCAAAACAGGAGCCCCACACCCCGAGTAAGTATTTTTATACAGTAAACTGTGAAATACAAGCTTTGTGAATCAGCTAGGGCAAGGACAGAACAGAACAAAACAAAAGTAAAGGCAGTATAAATTCCCAGTGGAATCATCTCTCTCACATCTGCACCACAAGCACAATGTACTAGGCCGAGTCAGCATTTCAGCACAGTTTTTGTGTTTCCCACTGCCTGCGCTCCGGCCACCCAGCCGCCTCATTATCCTTTGCTTCAGAGAGCTCTGTGTGTGTGTGTGTGTGTGTATTTGCGGCCTCCTCACTCTCATTAGCTCTCTGCTTGGTCGGTGTCTCCAATGTTGCACTCCTTTAGACCAACAAACGATCTTTTCAGAAAACTTTGATTAAACCAACAACGGTCTGCAATCTCGGCCCAATTAGCATGAAGTCTTTATCCTAAACTCAAACATTCATCCATTTTATTTCATGCCGTTTCAATCCAATCTATTCTTCTAGTGGTGCATTCTCATGTTTATTAATGTGAACAAACGCACTCATATTATGCATGCACATACACAAACAATAATTATCCATGTCAGTGTTCTGGTAGCCATCCAGAATTCATTTAAAAGCAAATTAATGTCCACTAAAGCCCTCTTTTTACACTCAAATATATTGGCCAAATAATTTTAAGGGCGTTTATTGCATATAATTACACTCAGTTATAATAGTAAAGCACTATTAGTCCCCATCCTCTGGTCTAATGGAGCAGTGAGGAAGCTCAGGGGTCAGGCTGAGAGTCTGTTTAGAGCTCTTTTAATTAAACTGCTCTATAGATGTGAGTCATCCATTAACACAGCCCGGCAGAAACCTCTTACACGCCAAATCATTGAAAAGTGGAAAATGTGCTCCCGCACACACACACACACACACACACACACACGGAGGATAGAATATAAGATACTAACACTCTTCAGAAGCACCGGTGCTCATTTCACCTCTATATTAGAAAAGGGAAATAAAGCTCTGAGTTCAATATTCCTCTCTGAATCCCACAGGGCTGCGGAGCCGTACGAGAAAAGGATGCGTCTCACCAGCTGCGCAGAGGGTCTGGGACGGCAACGTGAGGCGGACACCCGAACGGGTCTCTCCCGCCCATTGCTGGAAGAGTCCCGGTCTCTGTTTCACTGCTATATTAATGAAGAAGAGCGAGATGGAGGCAGGGCCATGAGCGACGCTGGGCGCACGGGCAGCGGCCACTCCAGAGGGCAGGTGGAAGCGGTCGGCCTTGTCGTCCAAAGCATGGGAATGGAGACCAGGGCGGAACGAGAGGCAGCGCTCCTGGCACATTTCAACATTCCCAACTTTGTGAACTCAGAACTGAGCTCCGCTCTTGGAGACGAAGATTTACTACTGGGCGATCCACCGATCATAATGGAGGAGGCCCGTCCGCGCTGTACCCATCACATAATTGACTAAACCATCGGTTTGAAGACGGTCAGATGCCATTATTTTTTCATTATGGCTCCATCACTGTCTTCAACTCAGTCTATTATCTTTAAAAGTGGAGAGTGATGCGTTTCGCTTCAAAAGTGGAGCTATTTTCTGACATCTGGGGTCTGCAGCGAGAAACGATGGCAGCGTGAAAGATGAAAAAGATTTTGAGAATATGCTCTTGACGGCGGCGACAGCATGTTAAAAGAATGTTGGGAAGCCTGTGGTTAGAAAGTGATATTTTAAGAAAATACGTAGGAAGACAGATTGCAATGCCTTATTGGTTCATACTTCATTCCTATTATCAGCATTATTAAAAAAAACCTCTTGATGTGCAGCAGGAAGACATCGATGCAGCATTGTACTTGTGTAGTCTAATGACAAAATTGCAGCAATTTGGTATCGCACTGCCTGTTTCTCTGGCCTTGTCGTGTGAGCAAATGCCTGAGTAGAAAATAGTTTTACCTGAATCAGTGGCTTTCTGCAGAATATCTGCAGCATTATACTTGCATACTAACTCTCTGTAATTGTTTGAATACAGCTGCCTGAGCAATTCAATGCTTCAGTTCTGTCTCTCTTGTTTTATTGAACACCTATATGCCAATAAAATTCAGTGCGTAGTTTCCTGTGGTGATATTGGCTGACGCAAACAAATCCCTAACCTTAAGGCCACACATGAATGAAACCTCAAATCATTCAGCCATATATAGAGGCCAAAATATCATACAAACTTTTTTGGCAAGTTGCTACCTAGCAACCACTCAGAAAACCATAGCAACCATACGGCAATGTCCTGGCAACCACTGAGAACACTCGGGTGGAAATACTGTTGTAGTTTATAATGTAGAATTATGGGATAACATACAATGTTTTAACCTTTAAAAACATGATTATTATTATTACAGTATCCATCATTAGCTAAGATAAAAACGAGCACTGATGAAAACTTTGCCTGAGGAAAAATTCTAAATGAAATGACTCACAATTTACTGAGCAACTTGCAGACAAATAATTCATAATTTAGACAGGTGACAGCCAAGGACAGCTTTGAACAGAGATCAAATGTGACACTAGCTGAACCTTAGCAGGTTTTCAGTACTTATTTTGACTCAATCACTAGACTTTGACATTTTTGCGATTATGCAAATGTCAATTTTGAAAGGCAATGATTTTGCTTTCATCAAGTACATTTCCCATTCAAATTTCTTAATACTTCATGTATTCCACAAATGTATCCTATGTACCCAATTAAATTATATTTTGTCAGGACCCTTGGTGTTTATAAACAGTTCTGCATGCTGATCAGCTCTTAATAATCATCACAATGCAGCAGCTCCATCTCCAGTCACTTATGCAATTTATGTTCTTTTAGTAGTTCATTAGCATTCAGACTGTGTCCTCTGAGGCCAGCTCTAAGGCGAGTAATAAATCATGACGTCTACAGTATTTTATATTGTGTAAACATACTTTTAGGTTAAGCTTTTGAGATGAGCCTGTTTTATAACTCTTATGTGGGTGGTGTATCAACTAACAGTTTACTGCTGTTTGTTCAGGGGTTTTGGATTCTGCTCAATGTTGCAAAAACAACGTGGCAGCAAAACAGGACAAATAATTGTGCACATAATAATTAACTTTAATACAAAATAACATTTGGATTTGTGCTACAATTACTAACACCACATATCTTGTATTTGATGTTACATACCCAGCATGTTCATTGACAACAATTAAATAATCTTTACAAAAAAAAGAAGAAAAAGTTTTAAGTGGTGCAAAGGGAGCTCAGGATCGGAGAGGCAGGTATGTGTGTGTAGTGGTGGAGGTGTGTTCGGGGATGGGGATGACTACACCCTGTCTCTGGAGTTCTCGGAGCACATCCAGTATAGAGTCCAGCTCCAGTCTGAAGGCATCCAGCTCTTTAGCCCTGCCGTGAGCGAGTCTCCTCCAGCGCTCCACCTCACCCTGCTGCTCCTGTTCCACCACCCGCCGTGTGTCTGCAATCACCTGCAACACACCTAACATCAGTGTCCTCAATCACAATATAGGGGGTAATGGTTAGAGAGTCAGACGGGTAACCCGAAAGTTGCGGGTTCGATTCTTTGAGCAAGGCACCTAACCCCCAATCACTCCCTGGGCGCCACAGCAAAATGGCTGTCCACTGTGCGTGTGTCCATGGTTTGCAATGTGTTCACTACTCCTAATGTGTGTGCTCTAACTTGGATGAGTTAAATTCAGAGGACAAATTCATGTCACTATTCTATTCTCTATAGTGCAGCGGTTGTCCTACAGCAGACTGTTGCAGAGATCCATTATGAACAACTACAGTATATACTGTACAGCAACATGAAAAAAGACGTGCGCTGATCGTTTACTCTTTGTATGTGTCAAACTTGGCAATTAAGTATACGTGTTAGTACACTACCTTTCAGAAGTTTTTTTGAATGTTTTTGAAAGAAGTCTCACCAAGGCTGCACTTATTTGGTCAAAACTACAGTAAAATCTGTTCTAATATATCTTATATCTATATTATAATCTATTTTTTTTACTCATGTGATGCAAAGCTGAATTTTCAGCATCATTACTCCAGTCTTCAGTGTCACATGATCCTTCAGAAATCATTCTAATATGCCGATTTAAATCTGCAAAGTTGTGCTGCTTTTTGTGGAAACCATGTTACATTTTGTTCAGGTTTCTTTGATGAATATAAAGTTCAAAATAACAGCATTTATTTGAAACAGAAATCTTTTGTAACATTTAACGTCACATTTATTGTGTCATAGGTGAATAAAAGTATTCATTTCTTTAAAGCTTAAAACATTTGAATGGTAGATGATGTATGGTGTGTGGTTGTGTTACCTGCTGAAGCTGTTTCTCACGCTGATGGTAGCGGAGCTCCATGGACTGAATCTTCTGCTCCAGGCTAGTGAAGTGTCTTAGTTGAGGACTGTGGGCTTCTTTGGCCTGTTTCAGCTCTTCCAGAAGCTTAGACAGCTTTTTACATACACATAACAAGAAATATGGAGAGAAAGTTCAAAATCCAGTTAAAGGAATAATGGAAATTAAATTACTGAGTAACTACCTGATTCTGCAGGGTTTCCTCTCTGATTTTAGACACAGCCAGAGCATCTTTGGTTCCCTTGAGCTCCTTTACTTGCCCCTGTAAATGCTGCACTATGATCTGAATAGAAAAGTTACATGAATTCAGAATTCCAAAAAACATAAAGCTTTTATCCAAAGCAACTTACACAATGCAAGCAAAGTATTTCATTTTCTTTACCCACGACCTCAGTGTTTCTAGTGCCAAGGAAACATTTAGTGGGAAATAAATGCACACAGTCATATAAATAGTCAAATTCATTCATTCAAGAACCAACCTCCTGTGTGTTCACTTGATTGCTGAGTTCAGCCACTTTGGAGGAGGAATGATCAAGGGCATGGCACGCTAGAAGGCGTTCAATCTCTCTTTGATGCTCAGCCTTGACCGAGGCAAGCTGCTCAGAATTCTGCTCCTGAATCCTGAAAAAGTGATATTTTAATATTGTTACACACACTCGATAACACTGAATCATCATGTTAACTCTTTCCCCGCCATTGACAGAATTGTCCAGCAAATCCATGTTTTCACTGTTATGCGGTAGGGGGCGCTATTATGCATTTTCTGAAAGAGTACAGAATCTTCAGATCAAAACACAGGCAGAGAAGCAGCAGAAACAAGCAATAGAAGCACCAAGGGTGCTTCTCATTTCTTATTTGAGCATCCTCGTTTAACGAGGTAACGAGGATGCTAAAATAAGAAATGAGAAGCACCCTTGGTATCCTCACTCATGACTCCTCAAAAAGCTTCCTCACGGTGCAATTAGAGAATTGAGATTCAAGATGGCTGAGTTCGATCGGTTTCCGGGTCACAGGCTGGAGGACGGTGGAGCGAGGAAACAAGGAAAAGTGTAGCCAAAGCATTTCGATCGCCCCCTGGTGGCTGGCTGCAGTATAGGTCCTAAATCCCACCCTCTCCATGTATTCAAATGGGACATGAGCCCAACAAAAAATATTTTAATACATTTAAAATATTTCTTTTAAATTTAAGGTAGTTCATCACACAGACCTATGTTCAAGTGTTTGTTTTCCCAACAAGTTTGGTTTTAGTTAGTTTTTTTGATGCTATAAAAACGGGGTGTAACGTCATGACTGGCAGCTGTGTTTGTGATTGAGTCTGCGGTAGCGGGAGAGTGGGCAGGACCTTGATGCCGCGGCTCCACCTCAGGATCACTACTGTGCAGACTCTGGCTCCGAAAGAAGTAATCTTTTTTTACAGGCTATGTTATGCACATGTAAAATAATGCGATCATCAAACATTAAACGGCATATAAATCAAAACTGGCTAACGTTACAGAATGAAAGGTCGAATGAAGGTATAGGACTCTGAAGCTTTGAGGGTGTTGATTGATTCGATCTACTCCATGTTTTGATCATTCTGAATCCGATCCGGACGTAGTCTTTGACAAAAACGCGATTTTCTCAGCTTTTTTTTTTTTTTTTTATGAAACTTGCCCACAATTCAAGTGTTGATTAAAAAAGAATGCATTTAGCTAGAATAAAATGGTTTAAAATATAATTTCTCATTTCTTTCTTTTGATTGTGGGTTTGACCAAGTACACCTGGCTGCAGCCTGCAGAACAGGACGGGGTTGCACGTGTCGCTCCGCCCCATAACTACTCTTGAATGGCTCGATCGACTTTCATAGACATACATGATAGGAAATGTGTTCGTAGTAAATTAAGCTGGTCTTTAGACTAACGCACGAACAACCCCACAACATTTAAACAAAAATGTATTCGTTGATTCTCCACAGCTGGAGGGTCGGGTCTTCAGGTACAGGAATGAAATGATTCATGAAATGTGATTACTTCATATACCCATAGTATGAGAAAGGAAATGAAAAAGATGTATCAGTATCGTTTTAATTTAAATGTCATGGTAAGACACTTATTTTACCGAATGTGTTATTGGTTTTTATAAGCCATGTTGGATGCAGTTGTATGTAAACTAAATGACACTGTAATAGGCTAATGTGTCTGCCTTGTTAATTTAGATTTTATGAAACTTTCTTTTTCTTGAGTACACTGTGCATAATATCAGACTTTTTCCTCCACTTCATTTCAGGAAAACATGCTGTTCCTCATTATTTTAAAGTGAAGAAATCAAGATCTTCTGCTGCAGGATGTAGGGTAATGTTGTATTGTCTGTGTATTACAGTGAAGACAACTCCGAACACATTTCCTATCATGTATGCCTGTGAAAAAAGACCAAGTCAATTAGAATAAGTATGGGGCAGAGCGACACGTGTAGCCCCGCCCCTTTCTGCAGGCTGCAGCCAGGTCCTTCTTCGGTTTAACAGGCTCGAATCCTGTGAAGAGAATTATGGGATTGTTTCAAGGTTTCACTTCATGTAGTATGACTGCTGTTTTTCACCTGTTGTTCAGAACATTTCAAATAGTTTATAAAAACATGAACCACTCCAAAAGACTTTACCTGAGGAGCTGATTCTGTGAATGTGTGACTGCAGCCTGCAAAGAAACCTTTTCCTGATCTCTATGCATCTCTAGTTGTTCCAATCTCATCCTCAAACTATCATTCTCCAGTTGCACCTCTGAGATGTGTGATCCCGAGAACGCTCCGGGATGGTAGTCTTTCTCATCTTGGGTAGGGGGGAAAGTCTCGGCTGCATTTTTTTTGGGCTCTTTGGCTGAACCCAAATGTCGCTTGGGCTCATCACGATCGAAGCCAGGACCCGTCAGCATGGTTTTCCTCTCCCTCTGCAGACGCTCTACAGTGCGACTCAGCTCCTGAATGGTGCGGCTCTTGGAGCTCAGCTCTTGGGTTAGTCTCTCGATGCGGGTTGCTTGTGCCGCCTCTGCATTGAGTTGGTGACGTGAGGGGCTGCGAGCAGGCTTGTCTGTTTGCGTCAAAGCTTGGGCCTGGCGGAGCTGTTCTTGCAGAGAGGCCACCTCTGCCTGGAGGGTGCTCTCTTGCTTCTGATTGGCCATCTTCACTTCCTCCAGCTCTGCCTTTAACCTCTGAGTTTGTGATTCAGACAATTCTGATGAGATGGCCTGATTGTTTTGGTTCTTCTCAGCCAAACGCTGCTCCAGATCTGTGATCTGCTGTTCATATTGGAGCTGAAAAAGAAGAGAAGAATACATATAAAAGTGCAAACATTATTGATCTGGCATAAAACACCATTTAAATATATCAGTCCTTAAAGTCTAATTGTATCAGGGCTGGGTTATATCGCTTAAAAAAAAAAGTAAATTATATTTAATGAATAAATTACATTTATTATCTTTATATTTATTTGTTATATTTTATTAATTATAATAATATAGAGTCTGTCGTGGAAATTTTAGACTGTATATTAAACTAACCATGTTTCTAACATCTAACCTTATTTAACATCTAACATTTGAACAGAATGTACTGTACGAAACCAATGGAAAACTTGTGACTTTGAGTGTGTGCGTGTGTGTGTATAAATAACATGGTTTGGGAAATGAAACTAGACAGTCTAGGTTTGAAAACTTGTGATTATGAAGTAATGAAGAACCAATCAAATTGTAGGGAAATTATGTAATGCATCATGTCATTTTCACCCATTCTCCTTTTCTATAAAAACTGTTGTATTTGTGTTTACTGGTGGGATTCTCAATGGGATTTGTCTGAGATCCACCGGCCATGCTTATTGCTTCTTTTTGGGAGATTCTCTGAGAACTGCTCGAGAACTCCCGGCCGTAATAAAGAGCATTTAAAGGACAATTACTCAAGTCTGTCTGTCATTTAAGCTGCGCAGCAAGAAAACAAGTAAGAAAGAATTATCGACTCGGCTGTAGACTCGCTGGAGTATAGGATTAGACGGATGCTGTAGTCGACTGAAGACTCGCTGAAGTGTGAACTTAGCTAACGTTAATATATAGACGCGCTAGAGTATAAGTTATGGTAGTATAGTTAAATTGAAGGAAAAAATCTACAAGTCTTAATGACAGTATTTAGCAAACTTAATGGACTAATAAAAGATTCATTAAAACAATTGTGATTTTCACATTTCACAATATTGCTTATTTTACATTTCTGTTCGAAAGTTTAGGGTCAACTTTTTTTCAAGAAATTTATAATTTTATTCAGCAAGGATGCATTGAAGTTATGAAAAGCGTCAGTAAAGACTTTTACATTGTTACAAAAGATTTCTATTTCAAATAAAAGTTGTTTTTTGAACTATATTCATCAAGGAGAGGAAAAAATGGAATCCTGAAAAAATGTATCACAGTTTCCACAAAAAATATCAAGCAGCACAACAGCATATAAGAATGATTTCTGAAGGATCATGAGACACTCAAGACTGGAGTACTGTATTTTTGATCAAATAAATGCAGCCTTGGTGAGAATAAGAGGATCCTTTCAATATATATATAAAAAAAATCGTACTGACCCTGAACTTTTGAACGGTTATGTATACAAGCAAATATATAGTGAATTTTCAATATATCACCAAGCTTTACATTGCTTCGGTTTCTATTTCTATTTCTAACATTCTAGTCATGAGGACACACAGCAGGGTTTAGAAATGAGAGAAATGCTGCCACTCTGAAAGCATATTAAAGGCCCTGTGCACTTAAGACTTAAAATAGAAACCTAATTTTCTTGGCAAACTTGTTTTTCTGGAAATCGATCAATCTAACAGTGGGCTCTGGTAAATAACATGCTTGGAAAAAAGAAAAGTATTTGAGTTGCTTTATCCCATATTAATGAAGGACACACAGCACTTCAGTCAGTGAGTTCAGGGCCACCTAGTTCCAATAGTTCAAACTTGTTTCGTACATGGTCTCAATTTTAGATTCTACAGATTTAACGTTTAATGCTTTGACACAAAATGCCATGTGACCTTCAGTACTGAATCTAAATCTGATATGAGTACCTTGATTCTGTGATACTGTTGTTCCATTGCTCTTAGACTGCGTTTGGCTGCTTCATCCCGGCCCTCTAGCTCTGCCTCCAGTCGATGTACACGTCTCTCCAAAAGAGCCGCTGTCTGGGAGGACTGAGGGGCAGTTGGGGGATGGACGTCATATCCACCAACTTCTGCACCGGCAGACGCAGCGGCCAAGATCAGGGCTGGCAGGGAGTTTGGATGCCTCTGTTTCAAGAGCTCTTCCATCTGTTTGAGCTGAGAGAGGAAATGGCAACATGAGTGAAAGATGGAACAGAATCTAAGAAGTTCTATTACTGATGCAGCCATTAAAGGGGTGGTTGAATATGATTTCACTTTTCTAACTTTAGTTAGTGTGTAATGTTACTGTTTGGGGATAAACAACATCTGCAAAGTTACAACGCTCAAAGCAAAGGGAGATATTTTCTTTTAAAGAAATTGCTTTTTAAGGACTACAAAAAACGGCTGGTAGGGACTACACGACATTCCTCCTGGGTTAGTGACATCATGAACCCTAAAATTTACATAAACCCCACCCCCAGAACACGATTTATAGATTATCAAGACAGAATATGCTAATCAATGACTAGAAGATAACTACACATAAGCTACATAAATTCACCAACTAACCATTCAGAAATGTTTTCTACATGTTGTCACTTCTTGAGTCTCCATCTTTCTGACTTTGGTTTGAACATAAAAGGCTAAAAGTGTTTGAAATTTTCAGTGCATGTGTGTGTGAGGTAAAAGGACACGAGCTGAAAGGGAGCTCGTGCGTTTTTGCTCACCCTCAAAAAGAGACAACTTTAACATGCTATATAAAAATATCTGTGGGGTATTTTGAGGTAAAACTTCACATACACACTCTGGGGACTTCAAAGACTTATTTTACATCTTGTGAAAAGGGCATTATACCACCCCTTTAATAAATATTACAAAACACTCAGGAGGCAGAAATCGAAATTCATTCATGACTTTTTTTGGCATTATTTTTGTTGCTTTATTTTTAGATAGATACAGAAGCAGTACTTAAACCTACATGAGCAACAAGGCTCAAACTGAATAGAAAAAGTGCACCAACCACTGAGCCAATTCAATACAAAGTTGTTAATTTAGTTGCAGATGCACATCAGTCAACTAAAGGACTTTAACATAAAGAGGAGGTCTTAAGGAGAAGGTGGTTGGAAAACCGACTACCCGTATGGTCTGCTACTCACGGACACGGTTGAATAATTCCAGCTTTCAGGAAATAGAGCACAAAGAAGAACGTGCCCTGAATGAGACGTACCTGCAGAACAAGGCAACAAGAATATTTGGAGAGGGAGAAAGCTGTTTCTGACCTGTCGTTCCAGGTCCTGGATTCTTTTAGCTTCACCCGCCCTTTCCTTTGTCTTTCTCTGTTGCTCATTGGCCCTCTTGCTGACCTCCATCTTTAGCTTTTCCACCTGCTCAGCGAGCCTTTGAGTCTCAGCGGTGGCGGCTCGGAGTCTGGATGCATCTTTGTCCAGTAGCTCCTGGTTCTCAGCATACCACTGCAGTCTTTTCTTCATCTCTGCAACCTCCTCCCGGTGCTTTTCCTGGAGCATCTTTAGCTCGAAACCTTTATCACCTGCCAGAAGCTTATTTCTGTCAATATGACAATTACATCGCCAAAAATAGACTGCTGCCATAACACTTCCATATTTGAGGCTCTTACCTGAAGTACAGACAGCCTGAACTCTGGCAAGGTCTCGCTCTTTCCTCATTATCTCCAGGTCTACATGCAGGGCTTGTTTCTCCTGTTTTAACCTGTGGATCTCATCTTGCAATCGTTCCTCCTTTTTCTAAACAGAAAGACTTTGCATCAGAAGTGCACGTAAAATGCAGTCTAGGTAGGTAGCACACTATGTTTTGGAACAGATCTGTTGATATTATGTAGTTTCTTACCTGTGCAGCTTGTACCTGACTTGTCAACTCTGCAATGCTGAAGCTTTGGTCAGCAATGCTTCTCCCTCCGACGGTTCTCTGAAAGCTGTTCATGTTCAACCGGTCTCTGGGGAATGAAAATTCTTTGCTTTTATATCACTTGCTGCAAAGAACAGCGTGAATAGTAAAAACCTGCTGTGATATGTATTATAACACGACTAGCGCACTTTTAGAGCACTGACCTCGTAAGGGCAAGCTCAGTGAGAAGTCTCTGGTTTTCCATGAACAAAGCCTCCTCGTTTTGTTTGCTTTGAGCTTGGAGTGCTTTCATTTGCAGATATAGCTTTTCATTCTCCTGTTAAAACCATCGGAAAGAAGTTTCACATATTCTGAATCCTATTTGTAGCATATGAATACTAATGACCAAAATGCAAATATATTCAGTGCATGTATTACATTGAATATAGTTCCAGATAAGAATTAATTGGATTTGGTTTCTGGAAAGGCCATAAGTTCTTCTGTAATTACAGGAAATGTGAGAAGTAATTACCAACGTTATTCTAAATTCTGAGTACTAATAGTGTCATTTTAAATAACTGTGTTTAATTATGCACCCCATTATGCTGAAATGATGTATAATGATCTAAAAAATGAGAGGCTACAGAGTCTTGTATTGTATCATTTATTGACATTTGTAAGATCTCACCATAAAAAGAGATCTAGGACAAGGGATTAAAAAATAAAGCCTAATTATAACAAATGGACGTTCATGCAAGCCGTGTTTCAGCATGGCTTATTCTAATATATGCCTGAAAATAAGCAGAGTTGGAGAGACAGATAGAGACTCACCTGATGGTAACCTTGAATCAGAGTCTCCTGTTCCTTCATCTCTTTCTCTATGAGCTTGAGTTTCTCTTCAGTTACAGGGTCTGAAGCTTCACCAAAACTCCACTTTCGTCTGTTACTTGCCTCCTCGGCACGGTGTAGCTATGGAATAATAAATGTAACAGCTTAGAACCTAAGCTTGAGAAATGACAGGGAATTGTTTGCTCAGACTTTAGGCCGAGGCTGTTCAGTTTATTAAAGTAAAAAAATATTGATGCAACTAACTTAAATGCATTTTCAGGAGTATGTAAATAGTTGTGTTTTTTTTTAAATCAATCTCAAACAGCTTTTAAGTCCAAATCATTAAGCCTGTTCGCATAAAATGAACTGGTTACAAAGCAAAACAAATTTACTTGAATCATAATGTATTTGTGTAGCAAATACATTAAACTAATCTTTAGTTACAGGTTATTATGGCTGTTTATCACAATGATTTCACTATGACAGGTAATTGTGATTATTGATTTAATTGTATTTTTTTCTTCATGTCAGTTAGAATGTAAGGCTTATTTCACACAATGGAAGAAAGTTGGAAAAGTTGTTTAATGTTCCCCTTATTCCAAATGTGGAAAAACAATTTCAAGTTGGTAACCTGGCAAAAACATTTAGTGCTGAACACAGAGCTTGTTGTGCTCTCGGACCGTATTTGAAAAATCCAAGACAGTGTATTATGGGGCATTCACATTACTGCACTGGAAAGGGCACTTAACTCAAACAGTAGAGTGATGCACTAGCAAAGCCAGGTTGTGTGAAAATGTATCTGATTCTGATCATAGGAAATGTATGAACTAAGAAAATGTATCTACTGAATACGTAAGACGCTTTCCATAAAAGCATTTGCTAAATACATAAATATAAATGGAAAGCCATACAAATGGTCTTTCTAAATTTGCAGTACAAAGTTTGTTTATTTTGAATTATAATTATGTAATTGGAAATTAAAGTGCATAATGATCATGAGGCCAGACTAGATCAAATAATTGAGATTAGGTGGTTATTTAACAATTTTGAAAGGTATAATGGTGTGGTTTAATGGCTCAGGGCACCCAGTAAGGAGTGAGCTGTGAGTCATCTCCATTGCACCCTTAACTCCAGGTTGCTCCAGGTCAATTGTCCCTGGAATACATTTATGGTGCCATTGTGTATAAATCATGAAAACAAATTCAGCCTTGGTCATTTTCTATGGTAATTTGTTCAAATGTAATTAATTCTTCTTCCTGTAATCTGCTGTCAATAACCAATATTTATACTTCACCAGAAGGGTCAGGGTGGATAAAATGCTGCATGCCCCCATGTGCCCTGTTTTATGTTTATTTACTGTTCAAAAATGTTAAGTTTTAAAAATGAGACTCATTATTTGCCAGAACAACAAAAACTTCCAAACTGAATCCCCCCCCCCCTCTAAATCTTTGAGGGTATTGAAACAAATAACTAGAATAAACCTTACATAATGTACTTGTGCTAAAAGCACAAATTCATCATCACTAAGAGAGTATTGAACAGCATACAAGTGAAATCTATGTTCATACTGTTGGCAGAGCAGCCACTGAAATATACTGCCATAGACGTTATGATTGCATTACCAAAACATTCACCTGCAAGTACAGACTGCCCTTTTTACCAAACGCACTTATACAGCATGTTACAAAACATACAATTTAAACTTAAGGAGAGCTGCCAGACAGCAGAAGGTTTTCTATTGATATTACAAGAGGCTCTGGTTAAATAGGCCATGAAAATAGATGAACTTGAGTAAATTTTAAAGGGATAGGTCACCCAAAAATGAAAATCCTGTCATCAATCTTATGTTGTTCCAAACCCATCAGACTTTCGTTCATCTTCGAAACACAAATGAAGATATTTTTAGTGAAATCTTAGAGAAAAGTCTATTCACCCAAAGCTCACAGTTCAAAAGGGTTTTAAAGAGTAAATAAATCCATCATATAAATTCACATATAAACATTGATTAGCTAACATACATAGAGCACTCAAATAGTGTATGGTAAACGAACGCAAGCTCATACTTACTTAAACCAATGAGCTTTGCTCTTGTGCACAAAGCGAGCATGCTTGAGCTTCTGTTTACCAAATTTGAGTGCTATTTGTACATTCGCTAAGCAATGTTTATATGTGAATAATAAAATAAAGCGATCGTGTTTCTTGGATTCAACCGCTCAATTCATATGGATTTATTTTACGATCTTTTTATGAACGTTTTGAAGCTTCACGGCCTTTCAATGGAGGGACAGAATTCTCTCAGATTTTACTACAAATATCTTCATTTGCGTTCCGAAGATGAGCGAAAATCTTGTAGGTTTGAAACAAGACGAGGGTGAGTAATTGATGACAGAATTGTCATTTTTGGGTGGACTATCCCTTTAAGTCCTCAGTCATAAATATGAAGAGGTAGAACAGACAGAACACACAAAATTACCCGCTGGTAATGTAGAGCCATGGCAAAACTATCCACCAAACAACAAAGTTTCCTTATATTCTAAAAACATAATCTAAGTTTACAAATACACAAGAGCTTACCTTGCTCTGTAACGTATAGTTCTCCTGTCTGAGTTCTGCCAGCTCTTGCTTGTGCTCCTCTTGTAACTGGGTTTCCCTCAGATGGAGCTCTCTCTCTTTTTGGGCGAGCTGAAGACAGAAACGCTCCAGTGATAAGCGCTCCTGCTGAAAGGGCTCTTGCATCACCTCACGCTGACAGACACACAGAACAGGTGGTTAATGAGCTGGAGGATTTGTTCCAATGCTCTGATTCAGTCCCAGTTAACTCACTCCTGTCACTGCTTCTGGTGTGATCCTGCTGGCTTCAACCTGATGCTGTAGAAATGTAGCAAAGGACTGCACGGATGTGACCAGTTCACTGCTTAGCCTTAAACTCGTGTCTAAACCTGTAAGGGATACAAAAAATTTAAAAAGACAGATGGCTATTTATTATCAAGCAAGCAAATATGGCTAAGTCAGATAAAAAAGAAAAGAAAAAAGATTTAGCAAATTTTTAGGACCACTATTATCATACTTTTTTTTTGTTGCATTGTGACATTATTTGCATAACAATTAAGACTATTTAAGATAATTATGTTCCCCCTAATTTCTCATTACATCACAAAACTCCAAAAACTCAATAATTATCTTCTTCATTTTGGTAAATATTGATATTTGTGATTAATTGTAATCAAATTGGCTAATATATCTACATTTAATGAAATTAAAATTGCCTACTTCTATATATATTTATTGCATTAATGTAATAATCATGAGTTTTTTGCATTACAGTAGACCATATTTAAGTCATGTCAACTTTCATGAAAATGTTACAATTTCATGAAAATAATGAAAATGTATCTATAAATGATAAAAAAAAGGATTGAATATCAGCTACATTTTCTTTATGCAAAATATAGTTTTGTTTATTTTTTCACACAGTTTTGGTGAGGTTAACCCAGGTACAGGTACCTTTGATTGTTTGTGTTTGACTGAGATTGGGAGGTTTTTTGGGGGTCTGGTTCTGAGCTTTCCTCTGTGTTAGTGGAGACGGAGGTTTAGCAGCTTGGCCGGTTCTGCTGGTTGCAGGCCCTCTGGGTAACAGCCTGCTCTCAGGTTTTTTGGCCCTTGTTGATGGAACAGGAGTTTTTCTAGAAGACGCAGATGCAAATGAATTGGTTCTGGCAGGAACCTGAGAGAGAGAGAGAGAAGTTAATATTCCATCATTATCTTCATAAATGTGACTATCATCACCATGTGAATGAAGAAGGCACGTAGTTACCCACAATAATTATTATACCTCATTTACTTCGCAGAGTATGTGCCTCTATCTTTGAATTTTCATTTCTCTAAACCCCAGAAATTACAGGAACTAATTTACAGAGGAAATTCATGAGGCAAATGACTCATAATAGCAGAGTCTCTGACCTGCCGTTTCTTGGGTTTAACAGGAGGAGGTTCCACAGAGGAGCTGTCCTGTTCCTGCATCAGCCGTTTGATCTCCTCAGCGATGCTCTTCTGAGTGTACTGAAGGGAGGCTGGATGTTCCTCTCCTGTAAGACTAGCTTTATTACCCCCTCCACAGCCCTCATTAGTGGAACTGAAAGGGCTGTCATCTGAAGATATCCTTAATGGACTATGATTTTTGCTGCCTGGAGGCACAGCCTCACTGTAAGACAAATAATACTTCTAAAGCTGCTGTACTGAGAATATATGACTCACGGTGTGTTAAGGAGACGAATAGTAAACTCACCTTATAGGCTGGAGAGAGAAACCACGCGTGAAAACAGAGTCTGGTCCAATTGGCCGCATCAGTTCCTCAGCAGTGGGTAAATCTACGGTACATAAATGAGACCCTGGTGAGAAAAATCTCAATAGGGCCGGAGTCACACTAGCCGATTTACAGTCATAAAGATTTGGTGTGATCAGAAACAAACTTCCTCAGCAAATGCAAAGCAAATTATCACAGATTTTGATTGTCATCCATGGCGAATTTGAAACCAAGCTTTTGTTTGTGATTCACTTAAACTTAAATAACTAACAAAATGAGCAAGTGACTGTAGGGATGAACTGATTCTGTCCCATAATCAGTAATTGGATGATATTATAAATCCATCATACGGTGTCAAAAAAGGAAATTAAAAACACACGAAAAACTCAAATAGACAGTTTTGTATGCTGAAAAAAAGTGATTTCAGACATTACAGCATTATAATGTATAGTATAATAAATCAATTCAATCATATATACTTCCGTTCAAAAGAAAAAAAAAAGAAAAAAAAGAAAACTGATTTTCAATGTTTTTGAAAGAAGTCTTATGCTCAGCAAGGCTGCATTATTTGATCAAAAATCAGACCAACAGAAGACAGCGTGGAGGTAAAACAAACAAACAAACAAACAAACAAACAAACTACAATACAGTGAAATATTATCACAATTTAAAATAACTGTTTTTAAATTTGAAAATTTCATTATTCCTGTGATAAAAGCTGAATTTTATCAGCCATTACCCCAGTCTTCAGAGTCACATGATCCTTAAGAAATCATTCTAATATTTGGTGATTTATTGCTCAAGAAATATTTCGTATTATTACCGGTATCAATGTTGAAAATGCTTAATATTTTGGTGGAAACTGTGATACCTTTTGCCAGGATTCTTTGATGAATAGAAAGTTAAAGAGCATTTATTTTAAATAGCTTTTTTGTATTGTAAACGTCTTTATTGTCACTTTTGATCAATTACATGCATCCTTGCAGAATAAAATCATTAAAAAACTGTAGTAAATAGTTTATAAAGTAAGTAACATTAATAAAGGTCGTTGTACTTACAGGAAAGAAGCTCATTTAATGCACAAATGCACAGAGCTCTGATAATTGCTTTTAAAGTAAAGAGGGTAGATCTGTCATAATTTATTACTACTTATAAAAGTCATATAAACCTTAAAATAGGGGGAAACAAGAGTCAACAATTAAATATTATCTGATAAAAATCCAATTTTCAACTGATTTGCCAAAACGAGGCACTGCAATATATGTGACAAGGAATGAGAAAGAAATGTCAGAGACACTGTTTAAGTCCATCATCCCCTTCCATTCTTATTCAGTCAGGGTGACAGACCTCTAACAGAAGACAGCAAGATTTCAGGAAAACCAGTTGGTGTGACACCCTCATGTAAAATCGAGCTGTTTAGAGTCAGCTAGCAGGACTTCACCGAAACCGATGACGCAAACAAAGCAGCTGGTAAAAACCTCACGTATTTGGTTTAAAGCATAACTGGAAGCATTTGTGGGGGGAAAGCTGCAAATCAAAAGGTTTAAAGCGCAGGCATGCACACAGTGACTGGCAAAAATGAGCTAGGTGCTGAGTCTGACCTGACTCCACCGTGGAGACAGGTTGGAGTGAAGAGAGAGAGAGGGGAGTCCTGCCGGCCTCGGCTCGTCCGTCCTCACACTCCCCCGCTGAGCTGTTGATCTGCCTGTACGCCTCCTGCAGCGCCTCTATCTCACTCCCTCCACTCTGACCGTATGATTGGACTGCAAAGATATGGAGGAGAGAATGTGTCACATCACCTGTTGGAAGTTTACTTAAACAATACAAGCTTTAAGAAAATTAGAGCCCGACCGATATATCGGCGGGCCGATATTATCTGCCGATATTAGGCATTTTCCTAACTATCGGTATCGGCATTTATAATGGCCGATAAATGAATATTTAAAAAAAATGCGGGTGCAGTGATTCATGTAAGGGTGGCGATGCCAATAAAGCACATAAAAGCTGTCACGAAGAACTGGCAAAAGTAATGATTGTGAATACATCAAATATAGCAAGGAGACATTTTAATTGTTTATTAATAAACAAGTGTTTTCAGTCAGTGTCGCTGCAAAGTTGACGACGCTGACTCGCGATCTTCAGTGAACACGCCAGAGAGAAATGCACATTTCATACGGATTACAGCAGAGAGCAGTCTGTCTTTCGTTTTGAATTGTTCTGTTTAAAAGTAGACATTTCAATATAGATATATTTCTCAGATCTATACTCTGAGTTTCGGTTCATTTATGAGACGAGTTGCAGTTCACGTGCCGGCGCCTCCGTGTCGAGATTATCTATTGTCCGCTATATTTACTTCTTATTTATTAAATCCAGACAATTGGTTGATGAAACATTGATTAAAATTAAGATACAATTAATATAAAACGAAATTCACTTTAATGGAAGGCTTTGTGCTTTCTGTTTGAGGTCTCTGTGAAAGTTTTAAAGCACTTTAGTGCCGCTTTCAGAGCTTGTCACATCCGTAACATTGATTTTTCCTCATAAATGCGAACATGAAAAATAAAATAAAATGAATATTTTATGTTCTGTTGAGAGCCAACCCTTCTTCATCCGGTTGGTAGTAGCCTATTACTTTTGATTTGCGCAGTGTAATTCACAGAATTGATTTCTCTGCTACCAGCCTCTGTCACGTATTGTGTTAGCTTGTGATGACTATAGGGAAAGCGCGCAGCTGAGAAGTCCTGATTATATTGTCTGCTATATTTACTTCTTATTTATTAAATCCAGGCAATTGGTTGATGAAACATTGATTAAAATGCGTTGCGCGAGTGACAAATCTCCGACAGTAAACTGATGCCCCATTCTGCTTTGTAACGGGCGCTTTTTCGCGTCTAGGGTAAACAGCTGTTGCGACGCGAGCAATAACGGCCGCGTCCGTTGTAGACATTGTTGAAGCTCATTCTGCCTATAACGCTATGTTACACAAGCAATAATTTATATAATTATAACACTATGTTTCACGTTTAGTACATTTTGCTTACTACTAATTTAAAAATAGTATAAAAGTACTGTACATATGTAATTAAAAACATTTTCATTATGATATTATTAATTTTACTTTAGTAAAAAGATCTGAGTTCTTTTCCACTGGTAGAGATTAGAGGAATTAAGACGATTAAAATAGAAGATAATTAGGTTTTATCAGTGACACTTTTGATATATTTATTGATACAAGTTATGTTTTATATAACGTGACTAAATTAAAAGATAAAGTCGTTAGTGAAGATTATGCAACAGTATTTATAATATAATATGCAATGCAAACTAGTTTGGTTACAGCTCAAATGTATCATTCTCATTCTATCATTCACCCTGTCTCCATTACATATCTTTGTCACACAAGTGTTTGATCAACACATTTTAGTGATCATTGCAAAACGTGTATATATTTATTCTGTTTATACTGTGTATTCTATATACAGTACCCATCAAAAGTTTGTACACATCAATAGGAAAGTGTGTCCAAACTTTTGACTGGTACTGTACTATAATACACATACATAAATTTGCTACTGTATTATATACACATAAATAATATCGCCCGATATATCGGTATCTGGCTTTTTTTATCGGTATCGGCATCGGCCCCCCAAAATCCATATCGGTCGGGCTCTAAATAAAATAAACTGGTTCTCAAACCTGCAGGTTCCAGTGCTGTCCTCACTGCTTGTTTGGTGTCTGGACATTTTTCTTTTTCAGCTTCCAAACTGGGAACTGCAGGAGGCAATGCTCCATCCGTAGAATTTAGAGAGTCATGTAGTGACACTGGGACATAAGAAGAGCATTTCACCTCCTGAACTGAACATTTACAACATCTACACTGTAAATTGAGATGCTGTTTACCTTTGGCCAGCATCCCATGTCTTTCAGGTTTCTGAAACAAAGAGGATCAAGGTTAAAATGAGAGATTTTGCCATAAAATCAAAATCAAAAACAAACAAAAAACAGCAAAGACATCATTTAGAGAAATTTTGACTCCAGATACCCAGGGACCTGCGATGCAAATTAGCATGTGCTATAATTTTCTTTTTTTGTTTTGTTTTTCAGCCAATAATCTCTCCCTAATACTGTACATAATAATACTATTATTATTAATATTCATCATAATAATAAATACTTCTACAAATAAGACAGAAGACCAACAGCCAAGGAATTATTTCATGAAATAATACCAAACCCTATCATATACCCCAAGAACACCTGGAATATATGACACGAGTTGCAAGGGGATCGTTTTGTGATACTTTTGCTTATTTTTTGTTAAAAGCTTGATGCTGGTTGCTTTTTACTGCCATTAAATGGACAAGCGCAAACGCGACCTTCATTTGTTTTCATGCAAATCTACATAACTCACTACTCAATTCCCCAGTTTATAACAGGGATCATATTATAAGCTTAAAGTGCATTAAAAATGTATGTATTCACCTTCTCTTGAAGCCCCTCGTCACTTTTCTCACTTGCCTCTTCCTCAAAATCTTCACTATATGCAGGAGATGCTGACAGAGAAGCAATATACAAGTGTTGTATTGCTTCAGGAAGTAATAACAACAAAACACATCCATTTCAAAATCTTATTCTCTCTGCTCTGCTCTTCTCTTACCAGCAGTGTCTTTTTTTCCCCTTGGTTCTTCTTCATTTGTTAAATCCATTTCTTCTCTCCTGAAAGGAACACAGTGAAAGAAGGACAATAAGCAAATGCTCCTTCACAAACTGCATTCTTGGAATTCATTATGCTTTTGTTTTGAGTCACATAAAGCATTTTTCACACCTTTGTGGGCTGGTGGGGGTGGATGGCTCCTGTTCTTGATTCAGTCTGGAATAGTCGATGGAGGATGAGGATTCTTTCTTCAGATTGGATAAAAACCTGGCATTGTCATCCTCATCCAACAGGTCCAGCTGAAGAGCACCTGCAGTTGGTACTGTTCCAGAGACCAGCAAATAATTTGTAAAGAAGCAAAAACAGATGCAGCTGGTCAAACAAACAGAGCAGTGATGGATGTTATGGATTCAGAGGTAGGCTGAATTGAAGGAAAATGGGGTAGACTGACCTTCAGGCTCAAGACTGTCTCTGCTAAAGATTACTAGGTCTCTATTCCTTTCATCCTCCAAGAACAGATCATTCAACTGCTCTTCATCCACCTCCTTAATCGACGGAGTCTTTCTCATTGACTTCATGAAGGATTTTCCGGTTGACGACATCCCTATATGCCAAGCAAATATGTTGTAAGTATTAAACAAGTCATTTTCCTACACCAGACCTTTTTTAAAAAGTACAATATACATGTACATTAAAAGTTATTGTCTGTTTTTTACACTTCAAATAAAGCAAACTATCTAGAACAGATTTTTTAATTTCACTAGCCACTGGATAGAAGCAATTCAGCAAATATGCATGTCGGAGAACTTCAAAATAGCACAAAAAAAGAACGTCTACACAGTTCACCAGATTTCCTTAAATTTGTAAATACTTATTTTCACTAAAGGCCCATTTACACCAAGGATAATAACTATAATGATTACTATACCTTAACCAAGTTTTAATAATCATTAAAAAATTCTTTGAGAATTGGGAAGTCCACGCCACAACTATAACGTTAACGACACTGAGGAATTATATAATTGGAATCACTCTCAGAACTATATTTTCCAGCTAACGAAGGATTAAAAACCATTGACAACCAATAAAAATCCACCTGACTTCAAAGAGGCTGAGCATTTAATAAGCCACATGGCTTAACTGCAGTGCGTGCTTGTAGTAAACAAAACGCTATCATCCGTTGGTGTGGACGCTAATATAGTTAGCGTTCTTGGTGTGAAAAGGCCTGAAATCCACTGTTTGTTGTATTGGCCCTCTGTGTGGCACATTATTATTCTGAGTTGCACATATTCAATTAACTAGACATTAGAGAAATTACTAACTGGCACAACACATGTTCTTCAAACATGCACTATTCCAGGAAATTTGTTTACAGCAAAAACTGGTGCTAAAAACACTGCAACTGCAATTACATATAGTGAAAACAACAGCTCTGGTCTGTTGTTTAATTATTGCATATAATTATATATTAAGGTAAAATTATAAAGGAAAAAAGCAAAAAGATTTGTTCCCAACTAAAATCCCACCGAGAGAGTTAATTCTCAAAAACTAGATAACGGGGAGTAAATATACACAAAACTTCCTGTTAAAAATCAAAATAACACAGTCTACTAATTCTTCACGTGTTGAAACTTTACCATCTTCTCTCTCGACTGAATCACTAGCATTGCTTTCCACAGAAAACTCATTAGAATCAGTGTGAATGGGACTGGAGGAGTTATCAGGCGCTGGACTTGGAACACAGCAAGAGTCTTCCTCTGAGACCCTCTGTTCCTCTAAACAGTAACTATGTTCAGGTGATGGCATCTTCTCTACTGCATCATATTCAGGACTCTTCTTATGGCTTGCGTAGTGGGATGCCCTCTGATTGGACAGCTGGCTCACCCTATCAAGAGCTATGCTACGAGGTTTAGGGGTGGGCTTAATAGGGACTACAGTGTATAAGGGCGACAGACAAAGAAGAAACATGAAAAAGTTAAACAGGTAGACACACTAAAGAGGCTAAAAAGTCATACAGTGCTCAGCAATAGGAAAGATGATCCTTGAAGTTTACACAACTAAACTAGATTCTTTTTTCAATTAAGGAAACGAAAACAAAAACAAAACAAGTTGGATCTAGAAACTAAGTCTAACACACATTAAAAAAATATAAGGGAATAACCTAGTAATACTGTGGAATGAAGTGTGTAGTTCTGCAATGTTACAGTACTTTCAGGAAACCTGTTTGACATTTTTTTTTTGGCAATTCTCTGTTGCAGAAATTACACACTTCATTGAATACTGAGTGAGATGTACCCAGAGGAGGGCTTTCTCTCTGTCTGGATCCCACCTGAAGGTCCACAGCTTGGGACTTTTGAATTTTAGCAAAGCGATGTTTAGTGTTTTTTTCTGCAAAATTGATGGACAAAGAGAAAAGCAGAATAAAAAGAGAGAGAGAGAGAGAGAGAGAGAGAGAGAGAGAGAGAGAGAGAGAGAGAGAGAGAGAGAGAGAGAGAGAGAGAGAGAGAGAGAGAGAAAGAGAGTACAAACAAGATGATTATGTCAAAGAAAAAGTACAAAGAAAAACAGAAACACTACAGCTTGACGGATAAAATGTGAAATTGGACAAATGACATAATAAGGACAAATGACATAATAAGTGGTGCCTGCGGTGTAGACTTTTTTATCCATTGAAATGCTGAACACTAATAACAGTAAATGACATCTCTGTGAACAGCACTTCAGATGTTCAAGGAACATCGTACAAAAAACATTCTTGGAATTATTACTATTTATCAGACACAATACTTATACACACAATGTTCTGTTATCAGTAGTAAACAACATACTTGTTGAATAGAAAACTTAGACATATAGAATTTATAAATATAAAATAAAAATCTTCCATTGTTCTCACTATGAAGCTCTTTTTGATTAAAGAAACAAATTTATTATAGATATACACTGCCCAGCCAAAAAAAGTCGCTGTTTGGATTTAAATCAAATCTTAAGAGTAATTGCAGTGATTATTATGTTTCTAGCATGTTATATATGTTAGGCAACAGTTCTTCTAACCCTAATTAATGAAGTGCGCAGCTTTTCACTTCTTAAAAAATGGCCATATTCCATGATGACAATGTCAAGATTCATCAGGCTCAAACTGTGAAAGAATGGTTGGCACTTGGGAGGCAGCATAAAGAATCATTTTCATACATGAATTGGCACATGTGACTCCAGACCTTAAAATCATCGAAAGTCTGATAAGCTGAAGTAGACTTTACAGAGTGCTTGACTCTTGCATTGTCAATACAAGATCTTGACCAAAAATGTATGCACCTCTTGATGGAAATAACATCACACCATTTCTTTCTATCAAGAGGTGCATACATTTTTGGGCAATTTAAAAAAAAAAAAAATTAAAAGCTACACACTCAGGGCTCGACAATAAGGACTGCCCAATGGCCCGGGGCCAGTGTGAAAGACACTTGGGCCAGTTGACGGAACGGTCACTTGCCCGATCAGACCAGTGCTGCATCTTCATGGAAGTTGATAATTTGTGCATTTTTAAGCCTTGCCAGTTTAAATATTTAAGTGCACGTAGACACGAAAGTACCTGGGTCTCTCAGTTTGGTACTTGCACGCTGTGTGATAAGTTTTTGCACGCGCACGCGCAGTAACACAAATTCAAAGTGCTCCCAGAACGCCGCATCTCACAGCGTGCGAATAATCTTTCACGTCTTCCCGAGCATGCACGGACATTCACACAAAATCATGTCAAATTGCACGTCTTGTCGAGTATCATCTTAAACATAGGTGGTTAAACATTAAACATAAACATTCAATGTTAACATGTAGGATAAGATACATGTGCAACAGTATATTGGGTCCGTGCAGCCCATTTTCCTTCTGCTGTCTGTTTTTATGTTAATCAAACAAAAGACTCGCTCACTGCTCTTGACTGAATAACTGTAATAAGGGTTAATCTATATTTATACAGTGAAGACTATGCAGTGATATTTTACATTTGATTACTATTTCTGTACTCTACCTGAAAATCTAGCTTAGACCTACATGAAAAACCTGAAAAGAACGGTTTATTTGTATACACTCACCTAAAGGATTATTAGGCACACCATACTAATACTGTGTTTGACCCCCTTTCGCCTTCAGAACTGCCTTAATTCTACGTGGCATTGATTCAACAAGGTGCTGAAAGCATTCTTTAGAAATGTTGGCCCATATTGATAGGATAGCATCTTGCAGTTGATGGAGATTTGTGGGATGCACATCCAGGGCACGGAGCTCCCGTTCCACCACATCCCAAAGATGCTCTATTGGGTTGAGATCTGGTGACTGTGGGGGCCATTGTAGTACAGTGAACTCATTGTCATGTTCAAGAAACCAATTTGAAATGATTCAAGCTTTGTGACATGGTACATTATCCTGCTGGAAGTAGCCATCAGAGGATGGGTACATGGTGGCCATAAAGGGATGGACATGGTCAGAAACAATGCTCAGGTTGGCCGTGGCATTTAAACGATGCCCAATTGGCACTAAGGGGCCTAAAGTGTGCCAAGAAAACATCCCCCACACCATTACACAACCACCACCAGCCTGCACAGTGGTAACAAGGCATGATGAATCCATGTTCTCATTCTGTTTAGGCCAAATTCGGACTCTACCATCTGAATGTCTCAACAGAAATCGAGACTCATCAGATTAGGCAACATTTTTCCAGTATTCAACTGTCCAATTTTGGTGAGCTCTTGCAAATTGTAGCCTCTTTTTCCTATTTGTAGTGGAGATGAGTGGTACCCGGTGGGGTCTTCTGCTGTTGTAGCCCATCTGCCTCAAGGTTGTGCGTGTTGTGGCTTCACAAATGCTTTGCTGCATACCTCGGTTGTAACGAGTGGTTATTTCAGTCAAAATTGCTCTTCTATCAGCTTGAATCAGTCGACCCATTCTCCTCTGACCTCTAGCATCAACAAGGCATTTTCGCCCACAGGATTGCCGCATACTGGATGTTTTTCCCTTTTCACACCATTCTTTGTAAACCCTAGAAATGGTTGTGCGTGAAAATCCCAGTAACTGAGCAGATTGTGAAATACTCAGACCGGCCCGTCTGGCACCAACACTCATGCCACGCTCAAAAATTGCTTAAATCACCTTTCTTTCCCATTCTGACATTCAGTTTGGAGTTCAGGAGATTGTCTTGACCAGGACCACACCCCTAAATGCATTGAAACAACTGCCATGTGATTGGTTGATTAGATAATTGCATTAATGAGAAATTGAACAGGTGTTCCTAATAATCCTTTAGATTAGTGTATGTTTGTTCTGTTGTATTTGTTTGTGCTATTGCTCGCAATTTGATTATTTGTCCTTATAATTACTGTCTGACTGTAACAATATTTAAAATTTATATGAGTTAGGCTAGTAGTTTTTGGTGTCATAACCTTATTAATTAAGGTTACATGGATCAAAAACAACTAAAACAATAACTAGGCCCATTTTATTTTATTTATAACTTTTTTTGTGGTGGGGTCAGTGAACATTTTGGTGAAAATTTTAACCACTGTCCCAACCGGGCCAGTAGAAAAAACATCCTTAGCGTTAAGCCCTGATACTCCATCAATTAGGGTTAGAAATACTGCTGCCAAACATATAACATGCTAGAAATAAATGCTGCATCCGAAAACGTAGGCAGCTGAGTTGTTGCCTTGCTGCCCTATCAGGCAATGACTTTGCAGGCAGCGTTTGTGCACGAAGGTACCTCACGAAAATGATTTCGGACAGACTTCTGAGGCAGAATAACGGTTTAATGATCTACCGCAAAATAGAACGAGCTTTGGTGAAAACTAAGTGAATATTTAATTACTAAAATAGTCATTTCTCACTAGAAATGACACCATAAGTGGAAAACGTTGATAAAAAATTTACATTTACACAAAATGACGACCAGCCGCAACTTTCAATCGCCATCGTTATTTTTCTAGCTCAACTGTCACAGAATGGAAAGCACAGGTTTGTGGGATATCGGGCAGAGATATCTATGCTTAGATTATAGAGATATCTATCTATGATCTATGCTTCAAAAATCAATCAGATGAAGGTATCTCAGGAGACAGGAAGTGAAGCTAACATTGGATTCAGACGTGCCAGGATGCCTCACGGCCTTGGAATGCGCCCTCCGAAGGCATCATTTATCAGTTTTTGGACGCAGCCATAAATCACTGCAATGATGATCCAATCTTAGACTCTTAAGCGATTGCCTATTTAAATCCAAACAGCGACTTTTTTTGGCCGGGCAAAAAGTTCAACAAGTTTAGGGTCAGTAAGATTTTTTTTATGTTTTTAAGAAACATTTATTTTTTTATTATCAATATTGAAAATAGGTGTGCTGCTTAATATTTTTGTGGAAACTGTGATTTCTTTTTTCAAGATTGATGAATAGAAAGTTCAAAAGATCAGCATTTATTTGAAATATAACTTTTTGTCTTTACTGCTCTTTTGGATTAATTTAATACACCCTAGCAAAACGTAAGGTAAGTACTAAAAAAGCATCTGCTAAATGACTAAATGCAAAGTCAATTTACAGGCACACAAGAGCAAAAGGATACACTGGATACACTGGGAAACCCAAATCCAAAAAACTTTGAGAGCTTTAAGAGCAGAGCATACTGAGAAAATGGCAACTCCTCAACCACAGAAGAGAAAGTAATTAGGTTGTCTAGAGATAAACAACATCAGGTGAAGACTAAATCAGGTTTAATCATATCAAATCAAACATGCATCAGTTCATATCCAGAATAATGTATTGGAAAAAAAAAACACCAGTCTAGCTTTGTTTGTGTTATAAGGTGCAAGCCAACAACATAAGACAACAACAACTCTAATCAGCTTATCCTATTCAATTTATTCTAATCAGAAAAAGGAAAACAATCTTTTGATCAAATTGTAAAAAAAAAAAAATAATCTTTCAAGCAACAGATATGGATAATTCAAGTAATTTAGAAACAAAGCAAGTGGAATTCATAGTTGCAATTTAGGGGATTCCTGATCTGATATAAATCTTAAACTGACTTTGCATCATTTATTTTGTCTACTGCTTTGTGCTTGCTGCCCTCAAGTGGAAAAACACCTAAACTACAATATTGTTGTTTAAAAACCCCAAAGACAGTTAGACTATGTTCAGACTGCAAGCAAATCAGATATTTTCTCAAAACAGATCTTTTCAGGCAGACTGTCTGCACTATTAATTTCAAGTGACCAAATAAGATTTGTGTGTCCAGACATGACATAAACCTATTTGCATTGGTTGATTTGGTAATGATGTAAGCGTACCCACGCATGTGATGAGGCTTTCAAAATGGATGCAGGAAAAATGCAGGTGCGTCATCATCGCAATTTTCAAATAACTCGTCTTTATCTCTAGATCATGTTCCAAAATCGTTCAAGCTGGCAGTTATTAAGCCTCTCATAAAGAAATCACAATTAGATCCAAATGAATTAACAAATTAAAGACCCATTTCAAATCTTCCATTTATGCCTAAAATACTAGAAAAAGTCATGTAAGGCGCTAATTATTTTCTACTTGCTTCTCTGTTTTATCTCGGGATGCCCATCCTGAGGTAACTAGAGAATATGTCAGCTCCAGTTTGGATCCAGCCTATTATGAAGACTTCAGATGCCCCAACACCTGTGAACAGACGGCACCAACTCCGGCCAGGACTTCAGATGACGCAAACTCTGAATCAACATGCACCAACGCTACAATTATCTATATGTCTATTTGTTAACAAACAAGTATTCATTACTTCAATGAGCTCATTGTTTCAGCCTTAAATTACTACATTGTTTAAATAAATACATTTTTAGCTAACTGTGATTTGTATACATTTCTGAAATACAGTTAGCTACCTCTGATAACAGATCACTCTAAATTGTAATGTGGACTCATACATTTTCCGTAAAGCTGCTTTAAAACGATGTGTATTGTGAAAAGCGCAATACAAATGTGAATGGAATGGAATTGAAAATAAGCACCCTGTCTAATCGCAGTGCAGAACTCCTCTGTCATACAGGAAAATGCCAAAATCTGTGGACATACCATTTGAACACCGTATAAATACTTCCTGCATTTCCGTCACCAGTTCTGACATTATGATTATGTCTCGTTAAGAGTGAGGGAAAAGACAGTTTGAAATCCGATTTGAGCAGCCAGAGCGTCAAGACTGAAACGCATCTGTACAAATCTGTTTCCAAATGAGGTTTGGTTTGGATCAGATATGGGGGGAACGGGGGAAGTCTGAACATGGCCTAAGATACACCGACACCACCTTTTCTCAAAGGTATTTACAATACACTCATTCCAAAAAGAACAGTACGCATCCCTGGAAATCTGGGATAAAGTGTCTTTCTGTGGATCTCAAAAACTTTCCAGGATGTGAACCATAAAACCTGTGGCGTTCAAACCCAGAACAAAGATTATGCTAATGCTTTAGTCCAGGCTGGAGATTTCAGCCAAGCTCTCTTTTTAATTCAGGTAACACCAGTCCAGCACTCACCTGTTCCCTCTTCACTGTAATCATCATCCTGCCACCACGGCACAGACACAGAAGCCTTCTTCACTGGCCTGACAGGTGCTTTTCCCAAGCTGTCAAGGACACTGGAGTGCTTGGTGCTGGAGCCCAAATCAACAGAGTCATCAGAGACAGACTGAAAAAAATCATAAGTACACATACACAACAACATAAAGTTTACATGCAACACTGGACTGCATATTATAAAATTATAAAAGAATTAGCAGAATAAACATGTTTAAAATAGATGGAGTACAGCATGTCATATAGCAAGAAGCATATCAAAGCACGTAATTAAACAAACAATTGTAAGAAAGAAACAAAAGACTATCAAAAGTACCTCTTTCATGAATTGCTCGAACTGTTGATCCAGCTCCTCTTTAGTCAGTCTATGAGCCATAATTCACTGACGAACTGTGAGAAACATATCAAAATTCACATCAGAAGTAGGCCTATACGTTTTATATAAACGTGTTATTATAAGAATAACTCATTTAAAACATATAACGTTAAACAAAGTTCAACCTGCTAAACATTAAACACCTAAAGAGAAAGATTCTGGGAGAGAATGCATTATAAACAACAGCTTGCTAGCTCGTTTGGCATGGTAACCGAGAGAAACGGACAACATGTTAAACTGAAGAAAACACAGGACGCAAAAGACTCACCAATACAGAATGAGATAGAATATAAATACAGTAAATCCTTTAATGTTTACATTGTTTTTGAAATGATACAGCTTATAAAGTTTCCCGCTACATTAGCCGGGGATTACTGACAGTTTATTGGTCATGTGACGTCACATCTGTCCGGAGATTTGATTGGGCGGTTCAGTTCCGTCTATTTGGGGTTGCCATGTTGGAGAAATGCGTACTTTAATGCCTTGCTTTACATTTTCATATTTATACTATTTTTTGTGTGTGATACATGTAGGCCTATCCCCTGTGATATTTGTTTAAAAAAACAACAACAAAAAATTATTCGAGAATTGCACTTGTAGCCTACTTATTCAAGCCTTCTTCTGATATTGTGTATACAGCACTGACTGTGAGGGTCCTCGGGGGGCAGTATTGCTCCACAGATCAGTCTTGCCTGATCAATTTTTGCATAGGCTATTTTTTTACAGTCTATGGGCTACACATATTCTGTAGGTTACAACATTTGCTGATAAGAAATAATAACAGTCTCCCCAACACCATACTGTTGCAACTGCTGCTGCTCCATCTGAATCTGACATGTAACAGAATTAAGCATGTGCAATATGAATATCTGAACCTTAAGTGAGTGAGATCATAAAAACCTTAAAAAAAAATAAAACAATTTAAAGCTCCATCCGTTGCACATAATTTGCCTTGTCATTTCTGTTGCATAGCCCCCTGAGTGCCTGAATGGGACAATCAGCAAATCACTGCCGGGAATACAGAAACAAGAACATCTAAGAGTGTTCACGCTCATCTTTGTCTCCGATTTCTCTAAATGAATGCTTAATGCATTCTAATCGTGACCCATGTGTCATCAGAGCTCTATCGGACTCTGTCTGAATGAGATAAGTGAATGAGTGATTAGGATGTGAATGCTTCCCTTGTCCCTCGTTTCTCATGTAAATGCGCCCCCATCGTCCACCAAACCCACCCTATACCTTAATGAAGGCAGTGTCCTCTCCCGTCGACTTGACATTGGGATGCTGGTGTACTCACTGATAGGATCAGGACAGGATCACCCTGTCCACCCCACCCTCACTGTAATTCATATTCATGTAAGGCCCTGTTAATATTTTGGTGGGGTGTGCATCTTGAAAGGGAGGGGCTCCATTACAGATAATTGGACTGACCTTCAGTTGTATTTCAGCATTGACCGTCCTTTAGCAAATTTATATATTTAAAAGCCACATGGAATGCATTTCATCAGGCTCAGCTTTTTTGGAGATTGCAATGGCTCTGAGTTTAATTTGTCAGGCAACTTTTAATAAATCCAACAGATTGATAACCAGTTCTTCAGATGCTATAGCGATATTGCTGTCCTTCCAAGGTAGATGAACTTTGATATATTTCAATGTTTTTAGGGGGATTATTTCAACCAAAAATGATTTTGTCCAAGTGGATTCAAAGTAAAATCAACCAAAACACTGTCTATTTTGTCGTTCAGACATAGTGTAATAGTATTAATTAATATATTTTAATTTATAAATATTTTTAATGTAATATAATTAATTTATATTTTAAAATAATTTCGTTTAAAATTTTTTTAATTCATAATAAATTTCTAGTCTACTCTCCAGTCTTGAATTTAAATAAAAGAGATATAAATAGATTCCTCTTTAAATGTGGCTCAGATTGAGTAGTGGTGAAGAAAAATGAGCCTGCACGTGTGAGAAGAGATGAGGCCCATTAGACACTAAGGCTGGTATCTCTCCAGACATCATCTCCTTCACTCGTGCTCTTCTACTGGCCGATCAATTACTACTGCCTCCTGAAACACTTTGGCGGGGGACACTCAAGCCTGGCAGCCCGCTTCATCATCAGCTTTCTGGGCTCGTTGCCTCAGGCCCATTTCTGCCACATAGAGGAGGAGACGAAGCTGTTTATGATGGTATGAGTGAGGATTTTGGCTATTGAGACGTGTGTGTCCGCTCCTGACATGACACTGAGGCCACACACACACACACACACACACACACACACACACACACACACACACACACACAGAGAGATCTTCTTCACTGTAATTCCTTTCTGAACAGACTCATTATCTATAATTGTGATTCATGACCTACGTTTTACTAAGTTTCAGGCCCTTTTGTTCAGTTTTGTTGACCTGTCATAACATCTGCTGATGAAAACCTAGTGTTTTTGTAGATATATTTATACACCGGTGTAGCTATTATAGAATAAATGGAAGATTATGAGGGCTGGACTGGGAGAACCTTTTAATATCCAGAGATGTCTGAATTCATGTTTAAAAGCACAATTTATATAAAATTTTAGATGCAAAATTTAAGCATTAATATTTAATACCAGCCTAATACCATAGTCAAGTGGTCACAATTTAATAGGCAGTTCTTTAGAGCAAAGGTTTTCAAACTGCAAGATAAATAGAGAAAAACAGCATACAAAAAGATTTTATAATAAATAATAAATAAATACAATTTAAATTAAATATAAGTTAGTAAATACAAGAGCAAATAAATAAATAATATTAATAGTAAAACAGAACAGCACTAAAGTAGAAAAACAATGTAATAAACACATTTTTTTACGATTGCTTACACAAAATTAAACTTTTCCCACAATTAGCAAAACCTTACACTCAAGGAGCAAAACACAAGGCTAGATTTGCACAACTGTAAGCACATTGACAAATTACAGTGATTTGCAAAACACTAAACACACTTGTATCAGACACAGAAGTATATCATGATGTCACTTCCTTGCAATTCCAAAGCACTGACTGTCAAATTACCACACGCCAATCTGTTAAACACAGCCATCAGGGCTGCGTTCAGCCCCGACAAAACGTTGCACAACGTTTTTTAAACAGAAACGGTGATGCGTTGAACACACTGTTCTGATGACGCAATTGAGTTGCAACTATGGCAGCTGAATTTTCGGAGCCTGATGAAGTTGGTATAAATATGTTTAATACTACAAAATATGCCCGATGTTACAGTTAGGTCTACTGCACTTGCCGCCCAGAACACAAGAGAACATCCCAGTGAAGGGATTGCTGAAACTGTAATGGAAGCACACATCTTACTTCAGACTAAAACACATCTAGTTAGTCTCACATACTGACTTAATTTGTAGTTCATACTGTTTTAATACCCTGTATTTTCTTTCTGATTTTTAGGAAAAGCACTTAATTACCATCGTTTATTTCTATAAATGTCATACTTGCAATGAAGCTAAAAATATAAACAACTACATCATTATGTTGATATCCTATTTTTACAATAAAACTTAGGACAAACATGTCTTCTAATATCCTTGTTGCGTATACCGAGCTGCATCGAACACATTTGTAAATTACTTTCCATGCTTGCCTTGAACCTATTGTGCGAGTTCACTTTATTACCTCGTGCTTTATAACATGTTGCTGCTGATTGGACTGCAGTTCTGACACCAAACAAGAGAAAACGTATCTCAAACCCCGGTGCACACCGTTTCCAGGAAACATGACGTTCAACCCGGAAACCGTAGCAAAACGTTGCGCACCGTTTTGAACTTGAACGTGCCCCAGGTGCACAAACACATGATTGCTAAATTGTAGACACATCAGGTTTAAGCACTATAAAAATGCAGCAGGTAGCACCTGCCTTTTTTTCAGATTTTTTTTTTTATGTTTGTTGTTGTTGTTATTTACTGTAATTGTAACCTGTACTGGATACAGTATTTTACGTTTGTCTGTTGTTTGCTGAGCTAACAGTGTTATGCACACTAGAAGCATGACAACTGGGACATGTTTTGTTGTGATTCTCCATGTTGACTGATTTGGGTATATGGAGAGAAATCAATGATATTTTCCTCAGTCTGCAGCATTGGTCTTGTGTAGTGTTTGGTGAACTATTGTATTTGCACTTTCTCTGTGTACTTCATTTACAGTAGTCACTGAGAATTAGACTTGCTAAAAGTGTTTTAGGTTAGCAACAGCCGTGTGTAACTGGTTCAAAAAGATTGAAGTCATATGAAATGTGTGTTTCGTATGGTAACAAAATATTGTTTTTATGAAGTCGTGTATAGTTTTGACATAAGTGTTCCATTTTGCAAATTATCTGAAGTGTTGTGCTACTTTGGTGTAAGGTTGTGCTAATTGTGTCTAGTGTTTTGACAAACCGGGCCCTGTTTTCAAAATTGTGCTTAAGCAAAAACTAATATAAACAAAATATTTTCCAAATAATATTTTTTTTGACCTATTTGATTAATTTAGTTCCTTCGCATGAGGATGATAATATTTGGGGGTTCATGATGGCACATAAAAAATTTAAAACCCCTGCTCTAGAAAATGAAAAATTTAACACTGCATTTAAATGTCGCAATGTTAGTATGTGTACTCGCTAGGAATCGAACCTATGACCTTGGTGTTGCTAGCGCGATGCTCAGCCAGATCATTCTTCTGTTTAATGAATACAGTGAATTTGGACGTACTATTGTTTTCGCATTCTGTTTTCACCTACTATATTCTAGAGAAGTATGCATCTCTGATGCAGCTTTACTGTAGTTTAGTCTGCCAGAGGGGAAATTGCAAATCCACCATCTTCCATAAGGGGGCAGGATTGCTCTATTTCTGCGTTATTAGCTGTAACATCCCTGACCACTAGAAACAGTCACACTTGGCTTCTACTCATCTTCCTGCCCATCTCAATCTGTGGGATTTAGGTGTAATCCCCTGAGCATACAAACCTGCCCTCCAAACTCCTCCTTAACCGACCAAAGCCCATTGATCACCAAGTGCATCTGCCTTAAGACCACTACAAAGGTGTCAAAATATAACCCACTATGAGAAAACAGAACTGCGCTGTTTAATATAGCTCATTATCTTCACAGAATCACTTCATCTCTCAGAGGCCCTTCACCTAAAACCCTGTCTCCAGTGAGCTATCCTGCCCTCAACGTTCATGGGCGTTGGATTTTCAGATGGCACATTATTGTGTCTCTCAGTTGACTGGCTCTTTGCAGCTCACCTTCTCATGATCCCTCGGTTAAGAGCGAGATGGGCAGCGAGACGCAGAGCCGGAGGGTGGCCCTGACTCTGGGGGACGGGAGGGAGGGACTCTGCACAGTAACTCTGGAGAGGCACAGACTCACTGCTCTTCAGTGGAGAGGAGGAGAGGCACATTAATCATCCCAAGACATCTGTTCTTTCTGCTGCTTTAGAATTCTGTCAAAGCGCTCCTGACTTCCCCCCTATTGCCGAACAGAAAAATGGTAAAAAAAAAGAAAAAGAAAGACGAGAACTGGTGGAAAGAGCCAAAAATTCTCATCTCTTTGTCATGGTCAGACTGAGTGAAACATTAGATTTAAGTCTATGATCTTCACATCTCATTAAATTCAAATTCATTTTACTTGAGTCATTGCAAGGCGGCTATAGTGAGCATTTAAAGTCGAAACGCAAATATACGAGTCTTTTCTTCCCTATAGAGTGGTGCAGGGATTACGTCAGATCCCGGACGACTAATTCGCCTCTGGTTTCCTTGAGATTTTCCTATGGGGTTTTTCAATTAATGAGTAAAATAAAGTCTGTGGGAAACATAACTTGACGATACTTTATCGTTTTGTTCTGTAAATTACACACCCATACCGAAAAAGCGCATTTTGAAGCAGTTATGTTTATTCTTGGAAACGAATGTTTCTAATAAGTCACTAAAGATAGTTTTGGAGTTTGTGCAGTTTACGTCGTAGAACAAAACGTCAAAATATCATCAAGTTATGTTTACCGTGGGCTTCATTTGACTCATTTTACTCTATTGTGATGTTTATCTGAGTAAAACGGCTTTGCAAACAAGAAAAAATGTAGGACGGGACTTGATTTTGTCCATCAGGAATTGATTGGATCGTTGTGGTTTGTTATTGCTGTGATCTCATGTAAATGACAGGTTGATCCGCCCTCACACCATGCAGTAAACTCATCATCCGAAAAGATAAGAGATGGAAAAGCAGCAAAACGTGGGCGGTTCTCGTGCACCCAAAATCCTGCCACTTTCACAAGCAACGGCTCTTTTGGCCGCCGAAGATTAAAATATTTTACCTATTTGTGAGCGGCAGTGGCAGCTTTAACCAATCATCGATCTGGTCATTGATAGGTCTATATTATTATATTATATTATATTATATTATATTATATTATATTATATTATATTATATTATATTATATTATATTATATTATATTATATTATAGGTCAATTCACATTTCAATTCACATTCAATTCAGTTCACATTTTAATTCAATTCACATTCACATTCAATTAACATTTTAATTCAATTTACATTCAATTCACATTCAATTGAATTCATATTCAATTCACATTCAATTCAATTCACATTCAATTTGATTCACATTCAATTCACATTTGATTCACATTCAATTCAATTTACATTCAATTCACATTCGATTCAATTAACATTCAATTCACATTTCAATTCACATTCAGCTGCCACTAGCAAAAAGATAAAATATTTGTAGCTTTGGTAGCACATGCCGCTAAGAGCCGTGTTTGTGGTAGTGGCAGGATTTTGGGTGCACAAGCACCACTTGTGCGTCGCCTCTGCGCCACCAGCGAAACCGCCCGCGTTTTGCTGCTTTCCGCATATCTCCTATTAAAAATGAACTGGACACTCGTGACTGCCGTGTTCCGTGTGAAAGGGCCTTAATACGGAAGCAGGCAATTCGAAATTCAGAAATTACGGGGCACAATGACAGCGTTTTCTGCTTACCGCTGCAGTAAATTGAACAGTGATCATGTTTAATTGTTTTCTGGACATTTAATTGACTCTAGTAGTACTTCAGACATAAACCAGCACCGTTTAGATGCACATACTGAATTGCGATTACCAAAGATTACCAAATCTTTGATTTAACTATTGTAATGTCCACTCTTGTCCACACTTCTGTCCCATGATTTTAACTGTCCACTCACATTTTAAAGCTTATCCAGCTCTTTAGTGAATGTGTTGCAATTTTTGAATCATGTGAGGTTTAGACAGTTTACATCCATCATTACGTCACAATAAACACGTTTTTTTTGTCCATTTGTAAGCATTACAGTAATCTGTCACTGTTACTGTACATAGGCAGATGTTTACATTGTGCTAAAATGCTGTATAATGTTTTATTGTCAGAGGTCTTCCTTTTTTTAATTTGTAGAAGGGAAATTGTCTTGCATTTGCATTAATAAACATAATTAAGGAATACAACCCATTAGCCCCTTCTTCAGTGATTTTAATCATTTGAATTACATCAGAATTGTATAGGTGAAACGTATAATTTTTCCACCACAACATCATAAACTAAAATTGCAGAAATTATAAATGTTTTAATTTTTTTTAATGTTTCTTGATGGTTGGTCATACAGATAGCGTGCACCAAATTCAAACCATATATAATACACATATATTATAAACAAATAATGTAAAGGAGTAATAAAGATTCGTAATTTTTTTAAAGCTGTTCATGTAAATTCTTGTATGTTTAACATGCTGTCAATTTGTTTGTATTGTATTTTTCAGTGTATATAATTGTATATTTAAACATACAAAAATTTACATTTAAGTGCTAAGACCACCAATGAACACTATGAGATCAGGCTACATATTTAAGCTGGTATAGTAGAAAACTTATTAACAAAGAAAAATTGCACAGAATGCACAGTTCACCTTTATAGCCTATTATTATAATATAATATATGACCAAAGGTTGGCAAATTTTAATCATTACAGTAAACAGTAAACCCACCCAGGTTCAAAGTCCAGGTTCAACTTCATGGAGGAAGTTACTAAATTGTTTCATGGCATGTGATGGAGAGAAGGAAATTGAGAAGTGGTATAATATTGGTCAGTAGAGAAGAAAAAAGAAGAAGAAATGAAAGTTGTTTAAATAGATCTCTAAACTGAAAGTGCAAAAGGCATCTGCTGTGGGGAAATAGTGGCAGCTAGTGGGGTAATATACAGTGATTTTGTAACAGAACATCTCAGCTAAAAATGTTTTGAGAGATTATTGGGAACACCTTCTGCGTTGAGTTCTGATGCCATCGCAAGTCATCGATGAGAGAGGTTCCTAAATGAAAAGTTCTAGGAGGATTATAGTGCTCTGATATGTAGATCTCTTCGATTTTGTTCTTGTTCATGTTGAGTTTCACAATGACTCTGTCCATGTTGCTCAGTTTATCATGTGGATCATAGTACTTCCTTACTTCATAGGGAAGATCCTCAGAGTGTGGGGAGTGAAGGTTTCCTATGGTGAAGTAGGAATATGTCCGTTTGTCCTTCAGTGGAGGGAGCAGGAACCCGCTGTTATGAAACACATGGAACCCAAACTCTCCAGCCACAGGATTGCAGAGAGCCACCATGTTATTGTCAATGCAATTTTTCACATACCACTTAATTAGAGCAAGTCCGTGTCGGGGTGGTGGAGTTCCAAACTCAGTCTCCTTCAGCTCTTCTTCAGTGTTTAATGTTTCAATGGCGATGACCAAGATGGCAAACAAAAGGCTGAGATGTTTTATCATTTCTGTATGCAGTTTGCAGGGAGAATGAGATATTAATTTAACATCAAAACAGCTGGGAAAATGACTACAAGCCTTAGAGTCAACATGGAATCACAATTATTTACTGTCTTAATGCACATTCCCAGCTATCAGGGAACATTGTCGGAACTTTGGCTAACATTCTGGCAAGGTTCCCTCAAAGTTATTTTCTATATAAATATTGAGACATAGGGTACTGATCTGAGTAAGAGTACTTTAAACAATCTTTTTCCCCCTTTCTATTCCATCACATCATGTTGGCATGAAAAGAATGTCTTGTACCTGCTTTTCCTGTTGGTATTGTTATATATCTAGACATAAAATTAACAGGAACAGACACTTTTAAATTTCAGAGTGTTTCTTGCATCTCATTTACAGTTTTTGGAACCTGTGCAGAGCTTTTTTTAAACAAAGAATAACACCAAAAATCTTACTCTATTAAGACGTCATGGTAATTTACCTGAATGATGCAGCAGAACGTGGGTTTGGAGTTTCTTGAGGAGGCTGTGGATATTTTGAGAGGCTAACTGCGTTCGTATAGAATCTTTTCAGATTGTGAGGGCCCTTGGTTTGAGAGTTACGTTTTTCTGGCTTATTTTCTCGCCCTATCTAAGAGGAAGTGGTTAAATATGTGAAGTCTATGACAGATGTGTTCTGCCCTGTTGCCCGGTCTCAGTTCCGGATTATGAATTATCAAAATGCATTCATCTTAATCCTAACAGCTCTGATTCAACTCAAAACATGACAGCTGTGAAATTAAAACACATAATGTGGTGACTGAAAACCCAATTTCTTCTTCCCTAGAGAAAAGCAAATATGGCATGCGATAACCTACAGGTTATCTTGTGCTTTGAGATTTTTTTCAAGGAATATCTGCAGGTGGAAAGTCCAGTTTCGGTTCACAGATTATGAAAAAACTCCCTTTAAGGCAATTCAGTTCACTCGTGGCTGTTTCGGAAACCCCCTCCCAGGCAGCTATTTTCTATGTAGGTAATAGGCATGCAAGTACAACTCTTCAAATCTGTTTAAAAGAGTGAGATATCCATAACTTTGTCAAGATAATATTTTAATAACATTTTTCAAATTAGCTATAAAATCGGACAACAATGGTATCATACATTTTCAGCTCAAAAACACAGTTTTTTCAAGAAGGTCCAGCTAATGTGCTTTTTATATTTTTGAGTAAGCAAACTATTGAAAAGTTGAGTGTCTCTTATATTGCAGAATGTTATTTTCAACAATATTTTGCCGTATAAATTCCATGTTTATGATATAAATATCTTATCATTCCACTCTTTCCCTTCACTTTCACCATATTTTACCAGAAATTAATTGGTTTAGCACATGCCTTGATGTGGGCAGAGAAAGTGTTACTTTCCTGTACACATTTCATGTAAAACAGAAATGTTCTCTTCACTGTTCGCTCATTCCAACTCACAGTGTCATATCAAAGCTTCCAACTTCATTACAAATAGATTATACTTTTAAATTATCCCAGCATGGCAAACAAGCCCAGCTTTTAGAGGAAGGTATGAATAAAAAAGAGACAGCAAAGAGAGAGTGAGAGAGCAGGCATTAGCATTTCATTTCTACAGATTTAACACCAAATAATGTTCCATTTTGCAGCATTTATTTATTTATTTTGCCATCTTTCTGCTTACATTGATGCGCGCATAAAAGCTTGCTGGGCTAATCTCCCTGGCAACGTGGCCGTTCTTGCTCTTGGGTAGTTTCTTTAATTCCTCTGGTGTATGTATACACGACTTTAGGGTCACACCGTATTAGTTCCCCCTGCCTCTGGGTGTTATAAGCCATCCAGAGCTGCACTGAGTATAAAGATCAGTTTCTTCCATTCCATGCCCGGTGTGACCTGAAGTTAACCAGCTGAGCCCTACTGAAATGACTTGCTGGAATACAAACTCTGGGGCGAATTCTCCAAAAAAAAAAAAAAAACCTTCCCACTAAGAGAGTTGTTTATTTGTGTGGATTGTTTAAGTAGCCAAATTATTAATGAAATAATTGAAATAAAGTAATGATAAAAAACATTGCATGCTTTGCTTGTTGTGGATGATGCAGCAGACTACACTGTAAACAAGTGTACTTTATTGCTACTGTACAGCATCAGTCAATCACTGCGATCGAGACAACTGAATTAGCTCTTCAAAATGCATTTAATGTACCTTATTCAGAGCAGCGCCATGACAGGTATGGAAGCGAGGCTGTGAGGGATAGACTAACAGTGTTTTCAATGGCATCCCCTGTCAAATGCTGTATAAAGCTCCTAGGCCATGTTTACACCTGGTATTAAAGGGGTCATATTAATGCCATTTTTGTACAAGCTAGTATGATTCTTTAGGGTCTAAATTAAAAGTTTGTAATATACTTTAATTACAAATTCTCATTAGTATTGTAAGAAAACACTTATTTTACTTGGTCAAAAACAGCTCTGTTTTCAGCACGCCGTTTCAGTGCATTTGACTTTAAATGATAATGAGCTTTGCTCACCCCGCCTCTCTGTTTTGTGTGTACACCATTTGTAACACAATAACACAATAACCATAACGCGTTGTTCAGTATAAAAGTGGGATTATGAATTATATTGAGAACATCATACATAGAAAACATGCCGTAATGTACCCTAAGTGTAAACCTTAGACGCATTCATTGTGAAGCGTGCAGCTAGCGATTTGCAAAGATTAATATAAATATTAATATAAAGTTTAATAAAACGTTACACTCACTTCAGTTGTTCTAGAGGTTCAGCAGGAACACGAATAGCTGGTACCGATCCTTTTTTCATGAGCAGCTTCTTAGCAAAACCAGCTCATACTGACCCTCGTTTATAAAGCAGTCTGGTGAGAAATGATTCACGCAAACATGAGAGCATTGACGTTGCTCGTGGGGAATATTCCCTTCGAAAACAAACTCAGCCACTGCGTCTTCAGCGGTTCGGATTTAGGAACATTAAAATGACTGCTGTGTTCGTTATTACACCCTGCAAGAACAGAACACCACAATCGCTTAGACGCCATTCTGCTCATAGACAGTGCTCCAGCATATCAACAATGACCGCGCCGGTCCGCGCAGACTATGATTGACTGTGTTGGGTCTGTGTTGAAACGCTGCTGTCAATCAACAATCGTGGGAGGGGCTTCCGAGCGCTTGACGTCACACGGTCGAACGGCTTGATTTGAGACAGGGGAAAACATATAAGGAGATTAAAACAAAAACACTGGATGGATTTTAATCATGATGGTTGTGTACAGGCACTGCCAACACACATTTCAGTACAATCAACTTGTAAAAGTGCATGTACCATTATATGACCCCTTTAAGATGTGTTTTGGTCAATTGGATCACAAGTGAACGACGCTTAATACAGGTATAAATGGGGTCTAAAATGTTTTGGACTTGTCTGCTTTCGTCCCCCTCCAGAGGTAGTTGAAGTCGCGTTTTTTTTTTTGCTCATGTAGTCGAATGCGTTCGAACAGCCACAAAAGATCGCCTTCCATCCACCTATACTGACCTAATGCGTAATTATGGGAAGCGCGCTAGCCATATGGTATTTAAACTTTGTTGGCTGGAGACCCAAGTTCGATTTGAAGACGTACCAAGCACAATGTCCTCTCACCATTCCTGATTTCTAACACACACTCACAGTGCTTGGCGTGGTCTTGCGGCTATCTATATGATACTTTTTCAAAAAAACATTTAACTACTTGTACACTACTTTTATTGATTTTAACCAATTAATCAAGAACTGCATCAATTTTACTTTGGATATGTTATTTTTACGCTCAAACTTAAAAAAGGTGTGGGAGTTATTGCTTCTCTATTATTTGAAACAGCTGGTTAGCACTCAGTTAGCTGGGAATAAAAAAGTTAGTTTAGATCACCATGGAGTTGAAGAGTTTGATGCAACCCTAATGAAGTGATATTAGGAAGACGTATGTTGTGCACTCAGCCATCTAATGTATTTCCAACCATGCAGCTACGCCTTCATCTGACAAAACCACTGAAGACTGAGCAGAAGCCACTTCTTGTTGCACTTTTGTGAACGTATATATATTTATATCTCTGATGAATTGACAGCCGAGTCCCACTGAGGCACAATAGGAACACAAGCTGGTGGATCCTTTAGTGTCTGTCTGCATTGACTGCGGGGGCTAGAAAGGCAGTAAAAACTCTCTCATAAGCGTGTTTGACACTTCTATCGCAGTGCTGCCAAGCGCTCCAGGGTCTGCTTTATATTTTATCCCCTCACTGCAGTGTCAGCCTGCGCGAGAAGGCACTTTTTAAATTGCTCTGCACACTCGATTTACACTGTGTTTCTCCCCAATGAAACGGGTCTCCATCAAACCCACAGTAGAAGCCATGTGTAATCACTCTTACATGTAGTCACATATAAGGAATCTGGAGTGCATCATCATATTGCATGTCTGACGTGTGCTTGCTTTTGCAGAGGGAGAGTGGTTGTAGGTGGTTCTGCTTATACATACATATGTAAGTGTAGTGGAGAAACTTGTTAAGTTTCAGCTTGGGTTCAAGTCAAGAAGGTCTATATTTTGTGAAGATAGATATGTTAGCAATCCCATTTATTTAAAATTAAAAAAGATAAACCAACCCAATCTCATGAGAAAACATAACTATTTCACCAGGTGTCAATTTCGCATGAATTTGTACAATGTGATAAGTACGAAAAACGTATTTTTAGAAAAACAAGTAAGCATAAATGTCCACCCCTAAACCAAAACTTTGGTGGGAAGTAAGTAGATCATGTGAAAAGATACGAATGAGATCGTACAAATTTAAATGAATTAGCCAGTTGCCACCAATTCGCCAAAATGTAAATGAATTGCCATGAGATTGTGTTTGATAAACACAAGAAAGTGTCGTGTGTATAACCCCTAATATCGTAACTAAACAAGCCATACATGTATGTTCTAATTGACAACATTTTGCTAACAAATTGAAAGTGCATTATGACTGCCACTAGACCGGAAATATCTTATACCTGTCAAATTAGGGGTGAGTGGTGTGGCTAATATCTTATATTAGTTTAATCTTAAAGTAATGGTATACACAGCCATACCACACGTATTCCTAATTTTGCATAAAACAATCTATTTATGTGAAGTGTTATCACCTGTGAATATCAAGTGGCTCGTAATTTCTTGTACAAACTCTCACCTATTAAGCAGCAAGACAACAACTTTAGTGAAGTATACTCAATCTGATCCATTTAATTGTCCTTCTATTCTTCTTCACTTTTTTTTCTACTTGAGCAGAAGCCATCAATCAGAAATAAGGCTGTCACTTGCAGATTGGAAAAAAGTGTGTCCTTTTGATGGCTATACACACCCAATTGAAACACAAAGACAGAAAATGAACTTCAGCAACAGGGGCGGTTTGAATGAAACCAGGTGCACTGCCCAAAAACAATCATCTAGAAACTTTTAGAGAATCAAAGAATAATGATCGAAAGCATCTTTGTCACACGGCAGCGTTTTTAGGAAAAGTACGTTTTGCAATCATTTAATTCAAATGAGGGTTCAATCGGCATGTTATTTCTATTCATCAAACCGTGCTTTGCAACAGGCAACGGTGCCACAACAAAAAA